CCCAGTTTGAGCAGTTGGGATTTCCCAGTTTGACCAGTTTGGGGTGGACAGGGCCCGTTCCCATTCCCATGTGGGATCTGGGGGATGAAATCCCCACAATCCCGAATTTCCAACCTTTTCTTGGGAATTCTCCACAGGGACACACGCAGGTGGCACTGGACACGTCCCGGGTGCCATCCCTGGTGCCATTCCCAGTGCCATTACTGGTGCCATCCCCTGTCACATCCCTGGTGCCATTCCCGGTGACATTCCCGGTGACATTCCCAGTGTCATTTCCCATCCTGTGTCCCCAAGCCTTTCCCCAAAACCTGACCCCAAATCCTGTCCCCAACCCTGACCCCACCCTGTGTCCCCAAATTGTGTCCCCAAACCCTGTCCCCACCCACTGTCACCAAAACCTGTCCCCAAAATCTGTCCCCAAACCGTGACCCCACCCCGTGTCCCCAAACCCTGTCCCCAAACCCTGTCCCCAAGCCCTGACCCCAAACCCTGACCCCAAACCCTGTGTCCCCAAAGCCTGACCCCAAATCCTGTCCCCATTTCCATCCCCAAAGCCTGACTCCAAATGCTGTCCCCAAACCCTGTCCCCACCCCGTGTCCCCAAACCCTGTCCCCAAACCCTGATCCCAAACCCCGTTCCCAAATCCTGTCCCCAAAGCCTGCCACCAATGCCTGCCCCCAAATGCCGTCCCCACTCTGTGTCCCCAATCCCTGTCCCCACTCCATGTCCCCAAACCCTGTCCCCAATCCCTGACCCCAAACCCTGTCCCCAATCCCTGACCCCAAAGCCTGACCCCAAATCCTGTCCTCACCCTTGTCCTCAAACCCTGACCACAAACCCTGACCCCAAACCCTGACCCCAAAGCCTGACTCCAAATCCAGTCCCCAATCCCTGACCCCAATCCCTGACCCCAATCCCTGACCCCAATCCCTGACCCCAATCCCTGACCCCAAACCCTGTCTCCAAACCCCAACCCCAAAGCCTGACCCCAAACCCTGTCCCCAAAGCCTCTCCCCAGTCCCTAACCCCAAACCCTGTCCCCAGTCCCTGACCCCAAAGCCTGTCCCCAATCCCTGTCCCCACCCCGTGTCCCCAAACCCTGTCCCCAATCCCTGTCCCCACCCCGTGTCCCCAAAGTCTGTCCCCAATTCCTGATCCCAAACCCTGTTCCCAAATCCTGTCCCCAAAGCCTGCCCCCAATGCCTGACCCCAAATGCCGTCCCCACCCTGTGTCCCCAATCCCTGTCCCCACTCCATGTCCCCAAACCCTGTCCCCAATCTCTGACCCCAAACCCTGTCTCCAAACCCCAACCCCAAAGCCTGACCCCAAATCCCATCCTCACCCTTGTCCTCAAAGCCTGACCCCAATCCCTGACCGCAAACCCTGTCCCCAATCCCTGACCCCAAAGCCTGACCCCAATCCCTGACCCCAATCCCTGACCCCAAACCCTGACCCCAAAGCCTGACCCCAGTCCCTGACCCCAAACCCTGTCCCCAATCCCTGACCCCAAAGCCTGACCCCAAATCCTGTCCTCACCCTTGTCCTCAAACCCTGACCACAAACCCTGACCCCAAAGCCTGACCCCAAAGCCTGACTCCAAATTCAGTCCCCAATCCCTGACCCCAATTCCTGACCCCAAACCCTGACCCCAAACCCTGTCCCCAGTTCCTGTCCCCAAACCCTGTCCCCACCCCGTGTCCCCAAAGCCTGTCCCAAATCCCTGACCCCAAACCTTGTCTCCAAACCCCAACCCCAAAGCCTGACCCCAAAGCCTGACCCCAAACCCTGTCCCCAAAGCCTCTCCCCAGTCCCTGACCCCAAACGCTGGCCCCAATCCCTGGCCCCAAAGCCTGACCCCAAAGCCTGACCCCAAATCCTGTCCTCACCCTTATCGTCAAACCCTGACCACAAACCCTGACCCCAAAACCTGACTCCAAATCCAGTCCCCAATCCCTGACCCCAAAGCCTGACCCCAAATCCTGTCCTCACCCTTGTCCCCAGTCCCTGACCCCAAACCCTGTCCCCAAAGCCTCTCCCCAGTCCCTGACCCCAATCCCTGACCCCAATCCCTGACCCCAATCCCTGACCCCAAACCCTGACCCCAAACCCTGTCCCCAAAACCTGTCCCCAAACCCTGTGCCCATCCCTGCCCCCAAAGCCCGACCCCAAATGGAGTTTTGGGGGATTTGGGGGATCAAGGATTTGGAGGGAAAAAGATTTTAGGGGATTTTTGGGGGCAGGGGTGTGGGGGATGGGGTTTTGGGGGATTTTGGGATACAGGGAATTGGGGTGATGAGGTTTTAGGGGATTTTGGGGGCAGAGAATTGGGGGGATGCAGTTTTAGGGGATTTGGGAGGGCAGGGTGTGAGTTGACAGGATTATAGGGGATTTTGGGGTGCAGGGGTCAGGGGTATGGGCTTTTAGGGGATTTTTGGGGGGCAGGGGTGTGGGGTATGGGCTTTTAGGGGATTTTGGGGTGCAGGGGTCAGGGGTATGGGCATTTAGGGGATTTTGGGGTGCAGGGGTCAGGGGTATGGGCATTTAGGGGATTTTGGGGGTGCAGGGGTATGGGGTATGGGTTTTTAGGGGATTTTGGGGTACAGGGATTTCGGATGATGGGGGTTTTGGGGGACAGGAATTGGGGTAATGGGATTTTAGGGGACTTTGGGGGACAAGATGTGTGTTTTAGGGGATTTTGGGGCTCAGGGATATGTGGTGACCAGTTTTAGGAGATTTTGGGGGACAGGAGTGTGGGTTTTAGGGGATTTTGGGGCTCAGGGGTGTGTGGTGATAGGTTTTAGGGGATTTTGGGGGACAGGGATGTGGATTTTAGGGGATTTTGGCACTCAGGGGTGTGTGGTGATGGGTTTTAGGGGATTTTGGGGCTCAGGGGTGTGTGTTGATGGGTTTTAGGGGATTTTGGGGCTCAGGGGTGAGGGTTTTAGGGGATTTGGGGGGACTGGATGTGTGTTTTAGGGGATTTTGGGGGGCAGGGGTGTGGGTCTTAGGGGATTTTGGGGGACCGGGATGTGGATTTTAGGGGATTTTGGCACTCAGGGGTGTGTGGTGACGGGTTTTAAGGGATTTTGGGGCTCAGAGATATGTGGTGACAGGTTTTAGGAGATTTTGGGGGGCAGGGGTGTGGGTCTTAGGGGATTTTGGGGGACCGGGATGTGGGTTTTAGGGGATTTTGGGGCTCAGGGGTGTGTGGTGACGGGTTTTAGGGGATTTTGGCACTCAGGGGTGTGTGGTGACGGGTTTTAGGGGATTTTGGGGCTCAGGGGTGTGTGGTGATGGGTTTTAGGGGATTTTGGGGGAGAGGGATGTGGGTTTTGAGGGATTTTTGGGGCTCAGGGGTGTGTGGTGATGGGTTTTAGGGGATTTTGGGGGACAGGGATGTGGATTTTAGGGGATTTTGGCACTCAGGGGTGTGTGGTGACGGGTTTTAGGGGATTTTGGGGCTCAGGGGTGTGTGGTGATGGGTTTTAGGGGATTTTGGGGCTCAGGGGTGTGTGGTGATGGGTTTTAGGGGATTTTGGCACTCAGGGATGTGTGGTGATGGGTTTTAGGGGATTTTGGGGGACAGGGATGTGGATTTTAGGGGATTTTGGGGCTCAGGGGTGTGTGGTGACAGGTTTTAGGAGATTTTGGGGGACAGGAGTGTGGGTTTTAGGGGATTTTGGGGCTCAGGGGTGTGTGGTGATGGGTTTTAGGGGATTTTGGAGGACAGGGATGTGGATTTTAGGGGATTTTGGCACTCACGGGTGTGTGGTGACGGGTTTTAGGGGATTTTGGCACTCAGGGGTCTGTGGTGACGGGTTTTAGGGGATTTTGGGGGACAGGGATGTGGATTTTAGGGGATTTTGGCACTCAGGGGTGTGTGGTGACGGGTTTTAGGGGATTTTGGGGCTCAGGGGTGTGTGGTGATGGGTTTTAGGGGATTTTGGGGCTCAGGGGTGTGTGGTGATGGGTTTTAGGAGATTTTGGGGGACAGGGGTGTGAGTTTTAGGGGATTTTGGGGCTCAGGGGTGTGTGGTGATGGGTTTTAGGGGATTTTGGGGGAAAGGGGTGAGGGTTTTAGGGGATTTGGGGGGACCGGATGTGTGTTTTAGGGGATTTTGGGGGAGAGGGATGTGGGTTTTGAGGGATTTTTGGGGCTCAGGGGTGTGCGGTATCGGGTTTTAGGGGATTTTGGGGCTCAGGGATATGTGGTGACAGGTTTTAGGAAATTTTGGGGGACAGGAGTGTGGATTTTAGGGGATTTTGGCACTCAGGGGTGTGTGGTGACGGGTTTTAGGGGATTTTGGGGGACAGGGGTGAGGGTTTTAGGGGATTTGGGGGGACCGGATGTGTGTTTTAGGGGATTTTGGGGGAGAGGGATGTGGGTTTTGAGGGATTTTTGGGGCTCAGGGGTGTGTGGTGATGGGTTTTAGGGGATTTTGGGGGGCAGGGGTGTGGGTTTTAGGGGATTTTGGGGCTCAGGGGTGTGTGGTGATGGGTTTTAGGGGATTTTGGGGGACAGGGATGTGGATTTTAAGGGATTTTGGCACTCAGGGGTGTGTGGTGATGGGTTTTAGGGGATTTTGGGGAGCAGGGGTGTGGGTTTTAGGGGATCTGGGGGGACCGGATGTGTGTTTTAGGGGGTTTTGGGGGGCAGGGATGTGGGTTTTAGGGGATTTTGGGGCTCAGGGGTGTGTGGTGATGGGTTTTAGGGGATTTTGGGGCTCAGGGGTGTGTGGTGATGGGTTTTAGGGGATTTTGGGGCTCAGGGGTGTGTGGTGATGGGTTTTAGGGGATTTTGGGGCTCAGGGGTGTGTGGTGATGGGTTTTAGGGGATTTTGGGGGACAGGGGTGTGGGTTTTAGGGGATTTTGGAGGAGCCGAGACCGGGCCGCGCGGGTCGGTGCCATGGAAAACAATCCGGGCCCGGGGGACGGGGAGGGGACGGGCCGGGAGGAGGAGGAGGAGGAGGAGGAGGAGGAGGAGGAGGAGGAGAAGCCGAGGAGGGCCCGGGAGCGGCGGGGCCGAGCCCAGCGGAGCGGGGACACCGGGGCTGCACCGGCGGTGACAGGGCGGGGGCGGCGGGCCCGGGGAGCGGGGGAAAAACGGGAAAAAACGGGAAAAAAATCCGGGAGAGGAGGGGAGGAAGGAGGCAGGAGGTTATTCACGGCCCTGGAATGCGCCGGGAGGCGGCGGCGGAGCCCCGGGGGGCTCTGGAAAAGGGGTGGGATGCGACCCGGAGCTCCAAGAGGGAAAAAAATTCTGGGATTTCCCCTCCGCAACCTCCTGGAGATGGGGTCTGCCCTCCCTGCGCACCCCAAAATCTCACCTGGAGCTGCCCCAGAGCCAGCGGGGCGTCTTTGCCACCCCTCAGATCCCGACCTCGGGTTTATTCCCGAGAAAATTCCCGCCGGGAATGGCAGCGCTGGGAGCTGGCAACGGAGGGCACGGAAAGACAAAAGGGGTCTGGCTGCCAGCTGCGGGAATTCCGAGCGGGAAGGAACCTCTGGAGCGCCTTGGAAAAGCCCCCGCCAGGGGAATGAGGAGTTAAGTTGGGAAAAATTCCCTTCCCAAGAATTCCAGCGGCCGCGGGGACCCCACAGCCCCTGGCTGAGAGAAGGCACCGGGTTTTTTCCATGACACGGCCTGCGAGCCTGCTGGAAATCCCAAAAATTCCCTGATTTATGGGCAGGCCGATTCCCAGATTTATGGGAAGGCCGGTTGGGAAAGAGCTGCAGAGGCTCCGTTCCTCCTCAACGGGAGGAACCCGGAACCTCCTGGCTCCCGCTCCTCATCCCAAACCCGGAAAAGCTTTTCCAGAGGGGGAAGAACAAACTCCAGGGGGTTTAGGGAATCTCCCAAACAGCTTTTTTGGCATTCTTTCCCATCCCGGCTGTTCGGCCGGGCTCATTCCCATTTCTGTCCCCAGCAGGATGCGAGGATGAGGCCTCTGCTCGGCGTGGTGGCGCTGGTGACGCTCATGTCCCTCGTGTCCCCTGGTCTGGCCTGTCCGGCGCCGTGCTCCTGCTCCACCAAGAAGAACGGGCGGCTGCTGGCCGAGTGCGCCTACCGCGAGCTGCGGGACGTCCCGCGGGGCCTGTCCCCCAATGTCACCATCCTCACGCTCTCCGCCAACCGCCTGGGCCGCCTGGGCCGCGCCTCGCTGGCCGAAGCGCCCGAGCTGCAGTCGCTGTGGTTGGGCTACAACCATATCTCCACCGTGGAGCCCGGCGCCTTCGCCGCCCTGCCGCACCTCAAGAACCTGGACCTGAGCCACAACCGGCTGGCGGATTTCCCCTGGCAGGACCTGCGCAACCTCAGCGCGCTGCAGATCCTCAAGCTCAGCAACAACCGGCTGGCCGCCGTGCCGCGCGGCGCGCTGGCCGGCCTGCGGGAGCTGCGCTCGCTCTGGCTCAACGACAACGAGCTGGCCACGCTGGCCCGCGGCACCTTCGAGGGGCTGCCGGCGCTGGCGCAGCTGCAGCTCTTCCACAACCCCTTCAACTGCTCCTGCAAGCTCTTCTGGCTCAAGGAGTGGGCTCACGGCACCTCGGTGGTCCTCTCCAGAGCCGGCTCCACGCTGTGCGCCGCGCCGGCACGGCTGCGGGGCCGGCCGGTCACCGACATCCCCGGCGCGCTCTGCGTGCCGCCCTCGGCCCAGCTGACCTATCTGTCCGGCCCGGCCGCTGCCGGGCCTCGGGATGGGCCGACGCTGACCCTGCACTGCAGCGTGGCCGGCAGCCCCCCGCCGGAGATCCGCTGGCAGATCCGCACGGCCGCTCGCCGCGTGGACATCCACGGGCCCACGGTGGCACGCGACGGCGGCGCCAAAGCCGGCCGGCAGCGCTTCTTGGCCTTCAAGAACGGCACCATGGCCATCCCCGACTTCGGCAAGGAGGACGAGGGCACCTACACCTGCCTGGCCGTCAACGACGTGGGCACGCGTGACGTCTCCGTCAACGTGGCGCTGGCCGGCTCGGCCAACCCGGCCGAGGAGCTGCCCCGCGATGACCCGCAGGCCGGGCACGCCGGCGGGCACAGCTGCGCCAAGGGGGACGAGCTGGATCCCTCCGGCATGGGCGAGAAGTTGGTCATCGTCTACCGCATGTCTGGCCAGGCCTGGAATGGCGCAGGAGCCCGGGAATTCCACCTGGGAATTCTGCCGCTGGCTCTGGGGCTGCTGCTCTGGTGAATGGCGGTGTTGCTGTTTTTCCGTAGTTTTTCCTCTCGTAGTGCCTTCGCTGAGCTTCTGGCATCCGGGAGCGCTCCGGAGCCCAACGGGGCCACCGCAGGCCTGGGGCGGGTGGTCCAGCCCTCGCCATTCCCGTTCCCAGAGGAGCTCCGGGAACATGGGGCGGATCCATCCCGGATCCAGCCGGGATCTGCTGCCGATTCCCGGCTGTCCCAACATGCCACTTCCCGCTTTTCTCCTCACCTGGATCCGATGGTGGCCACGGGAGGTGACAACGGTGACGATCCCTCCCCAGAGCCACCGCAGCTTCCACCGGGGAGGGATCTAAGGAGAAAATCCCTGGGAATGGACACGGATGCCACAGAGCATCGGGATGGACCCACAGCCTTGGATCGGGAATCCCAAAATCCCGTCTGGGCTGGACCCACCGAGTTGAGCCAAAGATTCCCAAAGCATTCCCAATGGGAATGGGGGAAAGATTGGGAACAGCAGAGAAGCTGAGCTGCCTTGAAGCCATAAATATTCCCCGAATGCTTCGGAATTCCCGGCGGGACAAATATTCCTTATCCAGGTGTCCTGGGAAACCAGGGACAGCAATAAGTGCCTTTAATTAATGCCTTTAATTAAGAAATACCCATCATAAACACTTGTAATAAACAAACTATTTTAATAAATACCTTGAATTAATAAACACTTTGAATTAATAATTACTTTTTATAAGCACCTTGAATAAACTCCTTTTTTTTTTTCTAAACCAGCCGGGCTTTGCTTGGTCTGTGCATCCCAAAATCCCAAAATTCCCCTGAGCCAGCAGCTCCTGGGCTCCCCCAGATTGTCCCCAACCCTCCTGGATCAGGGGACACTTCTGTCATTCCCAGTTTTCCCAAATTCTTCCCAGGGCTGGAGAATCCCCCAATTTTTCCCCATTCTGGAGAATCTCCTCGGTTTTCCCAAACCCTTTCCAGTCCCAGAGAATCCTCCTCAGATCCCCCAAATCCTTCCCAGTGCCAGAGTTTCCCCCAAATCCTTCCTAATCCCAGAGAATCCCCTCAAATCCCCCAAATCCTTCCCAGTGCTGGAGAATCCCCAAATTTTTCCCCATTCTGGAGCATCTTCCCGGTTTTCCCCAATCCTTCCCAGTCCCAGAGAATCCCCCAAAGATCCCCCAAATCTTTTCCATTTCTGGAGAATCCTCCCAGCTCCCCCAAATCCCCTGATGTTGGAGCGTTCCCAAATCCTTCCCAGTGCTGGAACATCCCCCAGTTTTCCCAAATTCCCAAATACCAGAGAATCCTCCCAGATCCCCCAAATCTTTTCTGGCTCTGGAGAATCCCCCCCAGCACCCCAAAATCCTTCCCTGTCCCATGGAATCCCCTCAAATCCCCCAAATCCTTCCCAGTGCCAGAGAATTCCCAAACCCTTCCCAATTCTGGAGCATCCCAAGATCCCCCAAATTTCCCTGTTCCCCAAATCTGGAAGGAATCCCCAAAATCCTGGGATACCCCAAAATTCCCCCCTACAGCAGCCCCAGTAATGGATGTGATCCCAAAATCAGAGCCTGGAGCTCCCCAGCACCCAAATTTTTGCTTATCCAGGGGGATTTTAGGGAAAGGGAATTGGCAGCTGAGGTCTCTGGGAGAATTCCTGGATTCCCATAAATTTTTCCCACTATGGGATAAAAATCATGGCCCCAATGAAATTTTGGGTTCATTTCACAGGATCTGACTTTTAACCTCCGTTTTATCCCTGGGAATAATGGGGATCCAGGATTATTCCCAAAATTCCAGTTGGGATGGGAGGGGTGAGGACACGGATTTGGGGTTTCGAGGTGAGCCGGGAAACACCAGGAAGGGGAAGCAAATCCCAAATCCCGCCCAGGGCGCTGCTGCTATCCCGAAAACCAAACAAATTCCAGGGATCTCCAGGGAACCTTGGGTGGGGCTGTGGAAACTGATCCCAAAATTCAGCCCCGCCTGTAGCACGGAGCTGCCACAGATTTTAGGGATTTTTAAAAGGGATTTTAGAGATTTTTGGGATTTTTAAGGGGGTTTTTTGGATTTTTCAAGGGAATTTTCAAGGGATTTTTCAAGGGATTTTGGGGATTTTTCAAGGGATTTTTCAAGGGATTTTTGGGATTTTTCAAGGGATTTTTTCACAGTGTTTTAGGCTGCCTTTGGAGCTACAGGGATTGGGATGGGCTGGGAGGAAATCCTGGGAAAAGGGAAGGGATGCTCCAAGGAAATCCCAACCCTCGGTGACCCCGAATTGTCCTGAGGGTGCTGGGAACATTCCAGAGGGAGGGAATGGTGTCCTTGGGATCCTGCAGAGAGCAGCTGTGGCCAACCCCGAAGGAAATCCCAGAATGATCTGGCAGCTCCATGCGGTGTGGGTTGAGAATTCCCAAGGGAATCTTGGGGTGTTTGGGATCCACCAGGAGCCTGCTCATTCCAGCCCAAAAAGGCAGGAATTCCTGGATTTAAGAGCAGGAAGAGGTGATCCAGCACCTCCTCGTTCCCATCCCGTTGGTGTTGTATCCCCAAAATTCCCCGTTCCCATTCCCGCCCTGCCCGAATCTGTGGGAACACAAAGGGAGCGGTTTTCCCATAAAACGGGATCACGGAGCAGATCCAAACATTCCCAGCTGGAGCAGATCCCCAAAATCTCTGCTGGGAGAGGTCATCCCAACCATTCCATGGATTTGGGGCTGGGATGATCCCAAATCCCGCTGGAAGTGGGAATATCCAAGGAAAACGGCGCATCCTGGCAGTAGGAACAAGGCATTCGTTTATTCTCCTTCCCCCACGCTTCCCAGGGAGTGGATCCCAGTGGATCCCTTTCCATGGATCCCAGCCCTGGAAAACCATGGGATCACCGCAAAAACAGGAGTGGAAGAGGACCGGGGAAATCAGGGAAAAAAATTGGGGAAAAAACCATCCCAGGAGCGAATGCAGAACCCAGATGGAGCCGGGATGGGGAAGGGAGAAGCCGGGAATGGGAATTTTTTCCTGGTGGTTGAGAATTCCTTCGGCCCGCTGGGAATCCCCCCAGCTCCTCTCCCAGTTCCCTGGGAATTGTCCCATCCTGGAAAAGCTGCTAAGAACCGGGATGGTTGCAGGAGTGAATCCCAAAATAATTTTTGGGATGCCTGGAGCGTTTTCCTTGGCTCAGCTCTATCCAGGCTGGGCTTGGAGGTGTCACCTCCAGACCTCAGGAGTGGCTCGGCTTGGATTTGGGATAAACCCTTGGAGAGAGTCCGGAGGCTGGGAAGGGGCTCAGACTGGGATGGGAGATGGGAGATGGGAGATGGGATTCCCGGGAATTCAGGGCCTGGGAATGCCGAGCTGGGCTCCGTTGGCCGCGGGATCGGCCAGTGCGGTTTTTCGGGAAGCGGTCAGTGAGGGGAAGCAGGGCGGGACTTGATCCTTCAAAAACCAGGATAAAAACTATTCTGGGAGCGGATGCAGAGCCCAGACGGAGCCGGGATGGGGAAGGGAGAAGCCGGGAATGGGAATTTTTTCCCGGTGGTTGAGAATTCTTTCATCCCACTGCGGATCCCCCCCAGCTCCTCCCCCAGTTCCCTGGGAATTGTCCCATCCTGGAAAAGCTGCTAAGAACCGGGCTGGTTGCAGGAGTGAATCCCAAAATATTTTTGGGATGCCTGGAGCGTTTTCCTTGGCTCAGCTCCATCCAGGCTGGGCTCGGAGGTGTCACCTCCGGACCTCAGGAGTGGCTCGGCTTGGATTTGGGATAAACCCTTGGAGAGAATCCGGAGGCTGGGAAGGGGCTCAGACTGGGATGGGAGATGGGAGATGGGAGATGGGATTCCTGGGAATTCAGGGCCTGGGAATGCCGAGCTGGGCTCCGTTGGCTGTGGGATCGGCCAGTGCGGTTTTTCGGGAAGCGGGCAGTGAGGGGAAGCAGGGCGGGACTTGATCCTTCAAAAACCAGGATAAAAACCATCCCAGGAGTGGATGCGGAGCCCAGACGGAGCCGGGATGGGGAAGGGAGAAGCCGGGAATGGGAATTTTTTCCTGGTGGTTGAGAATTCTTTCATCCCACTGCGGATCCCCCCCAGCTCCTCTCCCAGTTCCCTGGGAATTGTCCCATCCTGGAAAAGCTGCTAAGAACCGGGCTGGTTGCAGGAGTGAATCCCAAAATAATTTTGGGATGCCTGGAGCGTTTTCCTTGGCTCAGCTCCATCCAGGCTGGGCTTGGAGGTGTCACCTCCGGACCTCAGGAGTGGCTCGGCTTGGATTTGGGACAAACCCTTGGAGAGAATCCGGAGGCTGGGAAGGGGCTCAGACTGGGATGGGAGATGGGAGATGGGATTCCCGGGAATTCAGGGCCTGGGAATGCCGAGCTGGGCGCCATTGGCCGCGGGATCGGCCAGTGCGGTTTTTCGGGAAGCGGTCAGTGAGGGGAAGCAGGGCGGGACTTGATCCTTCAAAAACCAGGATAAAAAACCATCCCAGGAGCGGATGCGGAGCCCAGACGGAGCCGGGATGGGGAAGGGAGAAGCCGGGAATGGGAATTTTCTCCTGGTGGTTGAGAATTCCTTCAGCCCGCTGGGGATCCCCCCAGCTCCTCCCCCAGTTGCCTGGGAATTGTCCCATGCTGGAAAAGCTGCTAAGAACCGGGCTGGTGGCAGGAGTGAATCCCAAAATAATTTTGGGATGACTGGAGCATTTTCCTTGGTTTGGCTTCATCCAGGCTGGGCTTGGAGGTGTCACCTCTGGACCTCAGGAGTGGCTCGGCTTGGATTTGGGATAAACCCTTGGAGAGAGTCCGGAGTCTGGGAAGGGGCTCAGACTGGGATGGGAGATGGGAGATGGGATTCCCGGGAATTCAGGGCCTGGGAATGCCGAGCTGGGCTCCGTTGGCCGTGGGATCGGCCAGTGCGGTTTTTCGGGAAGCGGTCAGCGAGGGGTTGTGCAGGAGCGTGTAGGCCACCCACCAGCGCGCCCGGATGCGCCGGATCCGCGCTTTTCCCGGAGCCGCGTGCTTGGGATGCATCAGCTGGAGGCCTGGAAGGAGACAGGCGCAGCAGGGAGAGGATTCAGGGCCTGGAAAAGCACCAGGAGAGCAGGAGAAGGGTTGGGATGAGGGGCAGAGCGATGGATTCCAGATGGGAAAGGTGAAGTTGGGATGGAATTCCCAGAGGATCTGTGGCTGAAGTGTCCAAGGAAAGGTTGGACGGGGTTTGGAGTAGCTTGGGATAGTGGGAGGTGTCCCTGGATGGGCTTTAAGGGCCCTTCCAACCCAAAGCGTTCCAGGATTCCCAGATTCCAGCCCATTTCCATGGAGCCACCAAGATCCCACCACACCCCAAAGAGCCTCAACGGAACCCTGGAGCGGGATCAGCCCTTGGATGGATGATGGATGGATGGATGATGGATGGATGGATGGATGGATGATGGATGGATGATGGATGGATGGATGGATGGATGGATGATGGATGGATGGATGGATGGATGGATGATGGATGATGGATGATGGATGATGGATGGATGGATGATGGATGGATGGATGGATGGATGGATGGATGGATGGATGGATGATGGATGGATGGATGGATGGATGGATGATGGATGGATGGATGGATGGATGATGGATGGATGGATGGATGGATGATGGATGGATGGATGGATGATGGATGGATGATGGATGATGGATGGATGATGGATGGATGGATGATGGATGGATGGATGGATGGATGGATGATGGATGGATGGATGATGGATGATGGATGGATGGATGGATGGATGGATGATGGATGGATGATGGATGATGGATGGATGGATGATGGATGGATGGATGGATGGATGGATGGATGGATGGATGATGGATGGATGATGGATGATGGATGGATGGATGGATGATGGATGGATGATGGATGAATGGATGGATGGACCAATGGATCCATGGATGGATGTACGTGTCCCCACACCAACCAGAGGTGCCATCCAGAGGTCACCATTTTGTCCCTTCCCCCCGAACCCCTGGTGCCCCCAGGTCCCACCTTCCTCCAGCTGGGTCTCCCGGGGCGGTGCCGGCGGTTCTGGCCGGCCGTGCTGGAGCAGCAGGAAGCAGAAAGCCTTCAGCAGCGGGTGGCACTGGCTGACCTCCACCTTCAGGTAGTGGCAGTAGGTGCGGTACCCTGCGGGGACACCGTGACCTCACTGGGGACAACATTCCCCATTCCCACCCTGGAGCCTGAGGAAGGATCCAGCTCTGGTCTCTGTGCTCCCACAACCCCAGCAGGAAAAGCAGGGCCAGCCTGAGCTCCCCTGAGCTCCCCTGAGGTCCCCTGATGTCCCCTGATGTCCTCTGAGGTCCCCTCTCCTTTATCCCAGGAGATGAGGTGGAACCCTAAAGCTCATCCCACTTTTTTGGGGATAAAAGAGCAGGACCCAGCCAGCACCACCTCCAGGTGTTCCATTCCCAATGGTTTGGAGCCACCCTCAATCCCAGCAGGAAAAACAGAGGAAGACCTGATGTCCCCTGATGTCCCCTGAGGTCCCCTCTCCATTATCCCGAGACACGAGGTAACCTCTGGTGAAACCCAAAAGATCTCCCCCTGTTTTTTGGGATCAAGGAGCAGGACCAAGCAGGAGTCGGGAGAAGCTGATTTCTGTCCTGGTCCCACTTCCAAGCCACCCTCAATCCCACAGGAAAAACCTGGAGGTCTTTTGTTCTTTATCCCAGGATACGAGGTGACCACAGGTGAAGCTCCAAGGTCATCGCTCGTTTTTTTGGGACAAAAAACAGGAATCAGGAGAAGCCACCTGCTCCAGGTGTCCCATTTCCAACGTTTGGGGTCACCATCAATCCCAGCAGCTCCGGGCCCCCATCCCAACCCTCCGTGGTGGGACAAACTGGTGGCACGGTGACCTCTGGCTGTCCCACCTGGGTCGAAGGTCTCCACGCCGCGGTGCAGCAGGCTGATGTCCAGCCGGCAGAAGTGGACGGCGTTGTAGAGGCCGGAGATGACCATGCGCCACACGGCGGCCATGACGCCCACCAGGACGTTGGTGGGGAAGAGCAGGAAGGTGACGATGTACAGCGCGCGCCTGCGGGACACACATTCCCGTGGGATGGGACAACTCCGGCCACCCCAAACCTCCCGGTCCCACCCGCGTCTGGCCCAGGTGGCTCCATCCCGCTGGGAGAAACCAAAGCCCTCCCAAGCTCCTGGAGAACCATCAGGAGCTCCTTGTCTCCGTGGAGATTGGGGAACCGGGCAAAATGTGGGGTTGGGATTTTGGGATGGAGGCCACCAGCTCCAGGAGAGCCACGCTGGCCACTCAGGACACCTGGGTCCCTCTGTCACCCTAGTCTTGGGTGGTGACACCATGTGGGAGCAGCATCTGCTGGTGGCCTGGGATGGACACTGGCACCAGGAGAGTCTCTGTGCCCTGCCTGGGGGTGGCACAGGACACTTGGGTCCCTCTGTCACCCCGGTCTGCGGTGGTGTCACCATCCCTGATTAGGGGACATCTGCCAGTGCTTTGGGATGGACTCCAGGAGAACCTCTGTGCCCTGCCGGGGGGTGGCACTTGGGCCCCTCTGTCACCCTGGTCATGGGTGGTGTCACCATCCCTGATTAGGGGACATCTGCCAGTGCTTTGGGATGGACTCCAGGAGAACCTCTGTGCCCTGCCAGGGGTGGCACAGGACATTTGGGTCCCTCTGTCACCCCGGTCTGCAGTGGTGCCACCATCGCTGAGTGGGGGACATCTGCCAGTGGTGACCAACCCCACCTGGCCGATCCTGAGGGATCTGGGCTTGGAAGTGGGACCGGTGGAGCACCGGTGTCACCCCACCAAAATCCAGGCCAGAACATCTGGAGAAACCTCCTGGGAGCTGGAATTCCTGCCAGACCCCAGCTGGGGACAACTGGGGACAGTGGGGGACGATGGCGGTGTCCCCGTACCTGTTGGTGATCTCCTTCTGCAGGGAATGATGCTCCAGGAACTGGGAATGGGCCAGGAAATGCTGCAGGAGCACGGCCACCACCAGGGTCAGCCAGAAGGGCCTGGAAGAACATCGGGAATGGGCCAAAACATCGGGAATGGGCCAAAACAGCGGGAATGACCCAAAACACCGGGAATGGGCCAGAACACCGGGAATGGCCCAAAACACCAGGAATGGCCCAAAATACCAGGAATGGTCCAAAACATTGGGAAAGGCCCAAAACATCGGGAATGGCCCAAAACATCAGGAATGGCGCAAAACACCAGGAATATCCCAAAACATTGGGAATGGCCCAGAACACCGGGAATGGCCCAAAATACCAGGAATGGTCCAAAACATTGAGAAGAGCCCAAAACATCGAGAATGGCCCAAAACAGTGGGAATGGCCCAAAACAGTGGGAATGGCCCAAGACACCACCAAGGGCAGAGTCTTCCAGTGGTGTTGGAAAAACCCCAAATGGAGCATCCGAAACCCATCCAGGACCATTCCTTGGGGTTTCCAGCCCTTCCCGAGGGTGATCCGGATGATCCCAAAGAGTGGGATGGACACTGGGAATGTCCCAAAACACCAGGAATGGCCCAAAACACCGGGAATATCCCGAAACAGTGGGAATATTCTAAAACATTGGGAATGCCCCAAAACATCAGGAGTGGCCCAAAGCACCAGGAATGGCCAAAAACATTTGGAATGGCCCAAAACATTGGGAATATCCCCAAACATCGGGAATGTCCCAAAACAATGGGAATATCCCAAACCACCAGGAATGTACCAAAACATCACCAAGGGCAGAAGATTCCAGTGGTGTTGGGAAGATCCCAAATGGAGCATCCCAAACCCATCCAGGACCATTCCTTGGGGTTTCCAGTCCTTCCCGAGGGCTCACCACATGATCCAGATGATCCCAAAGAGTGGGATGGACACTGGGAATGTCCCAAAACCACATGTCCCAAAACATTTGGAATATCCTAAAACATCAGGAATGGCCCAAGACACCACCAAGGGCAGAAGCTTCCAGTGGTGTTGGGAAGATCCCAAATGGAGCATCCCAAACCCATCCAAGAGCATTCCTTGGAATTTCCAGCCCTTCCCGAGGGCTCACCACATGATCCGGATGATCCCGAAGAGTGGGATGGACACTGGGAATGTCCCAAAACACCAGGAATGGCCCAAAACACCGGGAATATCCCGAAACAGTGGGAATATTCTAAAACATTGGGAATGGCCCAAAACATCAGGAGTGGCCCAAAACACTGGGAATGGCCCAAAACACCAGGAATGGCCCAAAACACCGGGAATGGCCCAAAACACCGGGAATATCCCGAAACAGTGGGAATATTCTAAAACATTGGGAATGGCCCAAAACACCAGGAATGGCCAAAAACATTTGGAATGGCCCAAAACATTGGGAATATCCCCAAACATCGGGAATGTCCCAAAACACTGGGAATGACCCAAAACAGTGGGAATGGCCCAAGACACCACCAAGGGCAGAGTCTTCCAGTGGTGTTGGGAAAACCCCAAATGGAGTATCCCAAACCCATCCAGGACCATTCCTTGGGGTTTCCAGCCCTTCCTGAGGGCTCACCACATGTTCCGGATGATCCCGAAGAGTGGGGAGCTGGTGCCGATCTGGAGCGGGATCACCACCAGGAAGGTGAAGGCCACGGAGCAGAGGAAGAAAATCACCTGCTGGATCAGTAGACCTGGAATGGGGACACGGAGCGGGAATCCGGGATGGAGAAACGGGTCTCATTCCCCAAATTCCCACGCAGGGCTTTCCCGATGATCCCAGAAAAACCCTGCCGGTCCCCAAAACCAGGTCTGCATTCCCAAGGGATTGACCAACAGATCCTGGGGGTGGAGAGAAGATTTTCCTTCTTTTTGGGGTCACCCACCCCATTCCCAGGATGATCCGGGTTGGGATGGGGACAAGGAACCCCTGGAATGTGCTGAGGACCAGAGGTTTCCACAGCTTTTCCCATCCAAATATTTGGGATCCAGCCAAAACCGGGCATCATCCCATCTCTTCCTCCTCTCTGAATTCCCAACCCAATTTTCCCAAAATTTTTGCAATTTTTGCAATTACTTTTCCAGCTTTTCCCCAATTCCCAACCACCTGAAGATTCCCAAACCCGCCAGATCCCGTTTGAGAAACGGGTGCTAAAAACCCTCCTGGAAATGGGGTGAAAATAGGGAATTGTCACTTAGTCCTAAAGAAAATCGGGATCCCCATCCCGTGATCCCAAAATTCCATTACCCAGGTATCATTCCACCCCTTCCTCCTCTTTGGATTCCCAACCCAATTTTTCCCTTTTTTTTTGCATTTTTCCAAGTATTTTCCCAGTTTTTCCCAATTCCCAACCACTTGAAGATTCCCAAACCCGCCAGATCCCGTTTGAGAAACGGGCGCTAAAAACCCTCCCGGAAATGGGGCGGAAATGGGGAATTGCTGCTTAATCCTGAAGAAAATCAGGATCCCCCATCCTGTGATCCCAAAATCCCGTTACACAGGCATCATTCCACCCTTTTTACCTCTTTGAATTCCCAACCCAAATTTTCCAATTTTTTTCCCCAATTTTTCCCAATTCCCAACCATCCGCTGTTCCCAAAACCCACCAGATCCTGTTTGAGGAAATGGGGATTAAAACCCTCCTGGAAATGGGGTGAAAATAGGGAATTGTCACTTAGTCCTAAAGAAAGTCAGGATCCCCATCCTGTGATCCCAAAATTCCATTACCCAGGTATCATTCCACCCCTTCCTCCTCTTTGAATTCCCAACCCAATTTTTCCCTTTTTTTTTGCATTTTTCCAAGTATTTTCCCAGTTTTTCCCAATTCCCAACCATCTGGTGTTCCCAAAACCTGCCAGATCCCGTTCGAGGAATGGGCACTAAAAACCCTCCTGGAAATGGGGTGAAAATGGGGAATTGCTGCTTAATCCTGAAGAAAATCAGGATCCCCCATCCTGTGATCCCAAAATCCCCTTACACAGGCATAATTCCACCCCTTCTACCTCTTTGAATTCCCAACCCAAATTTTCCAATTTTTTTCCCCCAATTTTTCCCAATTCCCAACCATCCGGTGTTGCCAAAACCCACCAGATCCTGTTTGAGGAAATGGGGATTAAAACCCTCCTGGAAATGGGGTGAAAATAGGGAATTGTCATTTAGTCCTAAAGAAAATCGGGATCCCCATCCCGTGATCCCAAAATTCCATTACCCAGGTATCATTCCACCCCTTCCTCCTCTTTGAATTCCCAACCCAATTTTTCCCTTTTTTTTGCATTTTTCCAAGTATTTTCCCAGTTTTCCCTAATTCCCAACCGTCTGGTGTTCCCAAAACCTGCCAGATCCCGTTCGAGGAATGGGCACTAAAAACCCTCCTGGAAATGGGGTGAAAATGGGGAATTGCTGCTTAATCCTGAAGAAAATCAGGATCCCACATCCTGTGATCCCAAAATCCCGTTACACAGGCATCATTCCATCCCTTCTGCCTCTTTGAATTCCCAACCCAAATTTTCCAATTTTTTTCCCCAATTTTTCCCAATTCCCAACCATCCGGTGTTGCCAAAACCCACCAGATCCTGTTTGAGGAAATGGGGATTAAAACCCTCCTGGAAATGGGGTGAAAATAGGGAATTGTCACTTAGTCCTAAAGAAAGTCAGGATCCCCATCCCGTGATCCCAAAATTCCATTACCCAGGTATCATTCCACCCCTTCCTCCTCTTTGAATTCCCAACCCAATTTTTCCCTTTTTTTTTGCATTTTTCCAAGTATTTTCCCAGTTTTTCCCAATTCCCAACCATCTGATGTTCCCAAAACCTGCCAGATCCCGTTCGAGGAATGGGCACTAAAAACCCTCCCGGAAATGGGGCGAAAATGGGGAATTGCTGCTTAAAACTGAAGAAAATCAGGATCCCCCATCCTGTGATCCCAAAATCCCGTTACCCAGGTATCATTCCACCCCTTCTTCCTCTTTGAATTCCCAACCCAATTTTTCCCTTTTTTTTCATTTTTCCAAGTATTTTCCCAGTTTTTTCTAATTCCCAACCGTCTGGTGTTCCCAAAACCTGCCAGATCCCGTTCGAGGAATGGGCACTAAAAACCCTCCCGGAAATGGGGCGGAAATGGGGAATTTCTGCTTAATCCTGAAGAAAATCAGGATCCCCCATCCTGTGATCCCAAAATCCCGTTACACAGGCATCATTCCACCCCTTTTACTTCTTTGAACTCCAACCCAAATTTTCCAATTTTTTTCTCCAATTTTTCCCAATTCCCAACCATCCGGTGTTGCCAAAACCCACCAGATCCTGTTTGAGGAAATGGGGATTAAAACCCTCCTGGAAATGGGGTGAAAATAGGGAATTGTCACTTAGTCCTAAAGAAAATCGGGATCCCCATCCCGTGATCCCAAAATTCCATTACCCAGGTATCATTCCACCCCTTCCTCCTCTTTGAATTCCCAACCCAATTTTTCCCTTTTTTTTTTGCATTTTTCCAAGTATTTTCCCAGTTTTTCCCAATTCCCAACCATCTGATGTTCCCAAAACCTGCCAGATCCCGTTCGAGGAATGGGCACTAAAAACCCTCCTGGAAATGGGGCGAAAATGGGGAATTGCTGCTTAATCCTGAAGAAAATCAGGATCCCCCATCCTGTGATCCCAAAATCCCGTTACACAGGCATCATTCCACCCCTTTTACCTCTTTGAATTCCCAACCCAAATTTTCCAATTTTTTTCTCCAATTTTTCCCAATTCCCAACCATCCGGTGTTGCCAAAACCCACCAGATCCTGTTTGAGGAAATGGGGATTAAAACCCTCCTGGAAATGGGGTGAAAATAGGGAATTGTCACTTAGTCCTAAAGAAAATCGGGATCCCCATCCCATGATCCCAAAATTCCATTACCCAGGTATCATTCCACCCCTTCCTCCTCTTTGAATTCCCAACCCAATTTTTCCCTTTTTTTTTTTGCATTTTTCCAAGTATTTTCCCAGTTTTTCCCACTTCCCAACCATCTGGTGTTCCCAAAACCTGCCAGATCCCGTTCGAGGAATGGGCACTAAAAACCCTCCTGGAAATGGGGTGAAAATAGGGAATTGTCACTTAGTCCTAAAGAAAGTCAGGATCCCCATCCCGTGATCCCAAAATTCCATTACCCAGGTATCATTCCACCCCTTCTACCTCTTTGAATTCCCAACCCAATTTTTCCCTTTTTTTTTGCATTTTTCCAAGTATTTTCCCAGTTTTTCCTAATTCCCAACCATCTGGTGTTCCCAAAACCTGCCAGATCCCGTTCGAGGAATGGGCACTAAAAACCCTCCTGGAAATGGGGTGAAAATGGGGAATTGCTGCTTAATCCTGAAGAAAATCAGGATCCCCCATCCTGTGATCCCAAAATCCTGTTACCCAGGCATCATTCCACCCCTTTTACCTCTTTGAATTCCCAACCCAATTTTTCCCTTTTTTTTTTGCATTTTTCCAAGTATTTTCCCAGTTTTTCCCAATTCCCAACCATCTGGTGTTCCCAAAACCTGCCAGATCTCGTTCGAGGAATGGGCACTAAAAACCCTCCCGGAAATGGGGCGGAAATGGGGAATTGCTGCTGAATCCTGAAGAAAATCAGGATCCCCCATCCTGTGATCCCAAAATCCCGTTACACAGGCATCATTCCATCCCTTTTACCTCTTTGAATTCCCAACCCAAATTTTCCAATTTTTTCCCCAATTTTTCCCAATTCCCAACCATCCGGTGTTGCCAAAACCCACCAGATCCTGTTTGAGGAAATGGGGATTAAAACCCTCCTGGAAATGGGGTGAAAATAGGGAATTGTCATTTAGTCCTAAAGAAAGTCAGGATCCCCATCCCGTGATCCCAAAATTCCATTACCCAGGTATCATTCCACCCCTTCCTCCTCTTTGAATTCCCAACTTAATTTTCCCCTTTTTTTTGCATTTTTCCAAGTATTTTCCCAGTTTTTCCTAATTCCCAACCATCCGCTGTTCCCAAAACCCACCAGATCCTGTTTGAGGAAATGGGGATTAAAACCCTCCTGGAAATGGGGTGAAAATAGGGAATTGTCATTTAGTCCTAAAGAAAATCGGGATCCCCACGCCATGATCCCGAAATCCCGGTACCCAGGCAGGCGAAGGCCGCCTGGAAGCTGGAGAAGGCCATCCAGCAGACCAGGGATTCCCGGGAAGGCCGCAGGATGTGGGCCTTGGAGAAGACATCCAGCACGGCGCCCTGGTAGAGCGCCCGCAGGTTGGACCTGGGTGGGAAAACAAAAAACATCCCGGATTGATCCCGGCCTGGAATGGGGGCGGGGACATCGGGAATGGTGGCGGGAATGTTGGGAATGGCGACCGGGACACAGGGAATGGGGGCAGGGACATTGGGAATGGGGACGGGGACATTGGGAATGGGGATGAGGATATCGGGAATGGAAATGTAGATATCGGGAATGGGACATCAGGAATGGGGATGGGAACATTGGGAATGGGGATGGGAACATTGGGAATGGGGATGGGAACATTGGGAATGGGGCTGGGGACATTTGGAATAGGGACAGGAATATCGGGAATGAGCTATTGGGAATGGGGATGGGGATATCGGGAATAGGAACATCAGGAATGGGGATGGGAACACCAGGAATGCGCTGGGGACACTGGGAATGGGAACACTGGGAATGGTGGCGGGAATATTTGGAATGGGACTGGGGACATCGGGGATGGGTCTGGGAATATTGGGAATGGGGATATCGGGAATTGGAATGGAAATATTTGGGATGAAGCCAAGAACATTGGGAATGGGGATGGGAGCATCAGGAATGGGGCTGGGAACATTGGGAATGGTAACATCAGGAATGGGAATGGGGACATTGGAATGGGGATGGGGGTATTGGGAATGGGAATATCAGGAATGGGGATGGGAACACTGGGTATGAGGCCAGGGACATTGGGAATGGGGTCATCGGGAATGGGAATGGGAATATTGGGAATGGGGCTGGGGACATCAGGGATGGGGATGGGAAAATCGGGAATGGGGATGGGGACATCGGGAATGAAGCCAAGGACATTGGGAATGGGGATGGGAGCTTCAGGAATGGGGCTGGGATATTGGGATATCGGGAATGGGAACATCAGGAATGGGGATGGGAATATTGGGAATGGGGCTGGGAATGTTGGGAATGGGGACAGGGACATTGGGAATGGGGCCAGGGATATTGGGAATGGGGATATTGGAAATGGGAACACTGGGAATGGGGATGGGAATCACTGGGAATGGGGATGGGAATCACTGGGAATGGGGATGGGGATATCAGGAATGGGGCTGGGAACATTGGGAATGGGGCCAGGACATTGGGAATGGGGATGGAAACATGGGGAATAGGAACATCAGGAATGCGTTTGGGACATTGGGAATGGGAACATTGGGAATGGGGATGGGAATATTTGGAATGGGACTGGGGACATCGGGGATGGGTCTGGGAATATTGGGAATGGGGATGGGGACATCGGGAATTGGAATGGAAATATTGGGGATGAAGCCAAGAACATTGGGAATGGGGCTGGGAGCATCAGGAATTGGGCTGGGAACATTGGGAATGGGCCCAAGACTTTGGGAATGGGCCCAGGGACATTGGGAATGGGGATGGGAGCATCAGGAATGGGGCTGGGAACATTGGGAATGGGCCCAAGACTTTGGGAAGGGTAACATCAGGAATGGGGATGGGGACATTGGGAATGAGGCCAGGGACATTGGGAATGGGGTCATCGGGAATGGGAATATTGGGAATGGGGCTGGGGACATCAGGGATGGGGATGGGAACATCGGGAATGGGGATAGGGACATCGGGAATGAAGCCAAGGACATTGGGAATGGGGATGGGAGCTTCAAGAATGGCGCTGGGACATTGGGAATGGGGACAGGGACATTGGGAATGGGAACATCAGGAATGGGGATGGGACATTGGAATGGGGATGGGGATATTGGGAATGGGGCCAGGGATATTGGGAATGGGAATTTTGGGAATGGAAGCATTGGGAATGGGGATGGGAACATTGGGAATGCGGCCAGGGACATTGGGAATGGGAACATCAGGAATGGGGATGGGGACATTGGAATGGGGATGGGGGTATCAGGAATGGGACTGGGGATATTGGGAATGGGGCCAGGGATATTGGGAATGGGGATATTGGGAATGGGAACATTGGGAATGGGGATGGGAACATTGGGAATGCGGCCAGGGACATTGGGAATGGGGCCATCAGGAATGGGGATGGGACATTGGAATGGGGATGGGGACATCAGGGATGGGACTGGGAATATCGGGAATGGGGATGGGGACATCGGGAATTGGAATGGAAATATTGGGGATGAAGCCAAGAACATTGGGAATGGGGATGGGAGCATCAGGAATGGGGCTGGGAACATTGGGAATGGGGCCGGGACATTGGGAATGGGCCCAGGGACATTGGGAATGGTAACATCAGGAATGGGGATGGGGACATTGGAATGGGGGTGGGGGTATCAGGAATGGGACTGGGGATATTGGGAATGGGGCCAGGGATATTGGGAATGGGGATATTGGGAATGGGAACATTGGGAATGGGGATGGGAACATTGGGAATGCGGCCAGGGACATTGGGAATGGGGCCATCAGGAATGGGGATGGGACATTGGAATGGGGATGGGGACATCAGGGATGGGATTGGGGATATTGGGAATGGGGCCAGGGATATTGGGAATGGGAATTTTGGGAATGAGACTGGGGACACTGGGAATGGGGCTGGGGATATTGGGAATGGGAACATCGGAATGGGGCCAGGGATATTTGGAATGGGAATATTGGGAATGGGAACATTGGGAATGGGGATACCAGGAATGGGGCTGGGGATATCGGGAATGGGGACATTGGGAATGGGAATCTCGGGACTGGGAATGCCCCACCTGTGCATGGCCAGGCTCCGGAGCAGCATGGCGCAGGTCAGCAGGCAGCACAGTGCCAGGGAAAAAATGTAGCACACTGTGGAAAACCGGGAAAAAATTCTTGGATTTTGGGTCGGGAATAACACCAGGAGCGGGGTTTTGCTGGGAATTGCACCTCGAGGATGAGGGATTTGCACCGTGCCTCAGTTTCCCTCCTTGTGTCGCTCCCTCTTTCAGCTCCCAAGGAGGGGATGGATGGGACACAGGGAGGGAAAATGGGAAGGGAAATCCAGGGAAATCCCTGGAATGAGCTGGGATGGGGGTCTTAGGAAAGGGGATCTGTGGGAAAGAGGGGGGAGGGAGAAATGGGATGAGAGAGTTTTGGGATCCCAAGGAAGGGAGGGGCATCCCTGCTCTTCCTTTATCCCTGGAATTCCCAGATCCCTGCTATTCCTTTATCCCTGGAATTCCCTGATCCCTAAAATTCCCTGATCCCTGCTATTCCCTCATCCCTGAAAGTCCTTGATCCCTGAAATTCCCTTATCCCTGCTATTCCTTTATCCCTGAAATTCTCTCATCCCTGAAATTCCCTGATCCTTGCTATCCCTTCATGCCTATTCCCTCATCCCTGGAATTCCCTCACCCTTGCTATTCCCTGATCCCTGAAATTCCCTGATCCCTGGAATTCCCTGATCCCCTGCACTTCCCTCATCCCTGAAATTCCTTGATCTCTGAAATTCTCTGATCCCTGAAATTCCCTCATCCATGAAATTCCCTCATCCCTGAAATTCCCTGATCCCTGCTATTCCCTCATCCCTGCTATTCCCTGATCCCTAAAATTCCCTCCTCCCTGCTATTCCCTCATCCCTGAAATTCCTTGATCCCTGAAATTCCCTCATCCCTGAAATTCCCTCATCCCTGGAATTCCCTCATCCCTGCTATTCCCTCATCCCTGAAATTCCCTCATCCCTGAAATTCCCTCATCCCTGAAATTCCCTGATCCCTAAAATTCCCTGATCCCTGCTATTCCCTCATCCCTGGAATTCCCTGATCCCTGAAATTCCCTGATGCCTGAAATTCCCTCATCCCTGAAATTCCCTGATCCCTAAAATTCCCTGATGCCTAAAATTCCCTGATCCCTGAAATTCCCTCATCCCTGGAATTCCCTGATCCCCTAAAATTCCCTGATCCCTGAAATTCCCTCATCCCTGAAATTCCCTCATCCCTGGAATTCCCTGATCCCCTAAAATTCCCTGATCCCTGGAATTCCCTCATCCCTGGAATTCCCTGATCCCTGCTATTCCTTTATCCTTGAAATTCTCTCACCCCTGAAATTCCCTGATCCTTGCTATCCCTTCATGCCTATTCCCTCATCCCTGGAATTCCCTCACCCTTGCTATTCCCTGATCTCTGAAATTCCCTGATCCCTAAAATTCCCTCATCCCTGAAATTCCTTGATCCCTGCTATTCCCTCATCCCTAAAATTCCCTGATCCCTGCTATTCCCTGATCCCTGAAATTCCCTCATCCCTGGAATTCCCTGATCCCTAAAATTCCCTGATCCCTGCTATTCCCTGATCCCTGAAATTCCCTCATCCCTGAAATTCCCTCATCCCTGGAATTCCCTGATCCCTAAAATTCCCTCATCCCTGCTCTTCCCTCATCCCTGAAATTCCTTGATCCCTGAAATTCCCTCATCCCTGGAATTCCCTGATCCCTAAAATTCCCTCATCCCTGCTCTTCCCTCATCCCTGAAATTCCTTGATCCCTGAAATTCCCTCATCCCTGAAATTCCCTCATCCCTGAAATTCCCTCATCCCTGGAATTCCCTGATCCCTGAAATTCCCCAATCCCTGAAATTCCCTCATCCCTGGAATTCCTTGATCCCTGAAATTCCCTCATCCCTGGAATTCCCTGATCCCTGAAATTCCCTGATCCCTGCTATTCCTTCTTCCCTGCTCTTCCCTTCTCTTCCCTCATCCCCCCCATCCAAGGATTTCCACTCTCCAGGGATCTGGGCCCATCTGTTCGCTTCCAGCACATTTCCAGCATTTCCAAGCCTGCAGCATCTGCCAGCTCTTCCCTCCGGCTCTTCCCAACGGCTTTTCCCGGAGTCTCTTCCCGCCTTGGCACGCGCCAGCCTGGCACAGCTCCATCCCTGCCAGCTGCTCCCGAAATCCCTCTGGAACCTGCCCAATCCCATCCTCCTCCAATCCCTCTGGATTCTTCCCAATCCCAACCTCCAGGCGAGGAATCCTTACAAAATTCCCACTGGAATCTGCCCCATCCCATCCTCCCAAAATTCCCACTGGAATCTGCCCCATTCCATCGTCTGGACCACGAATCTTCTGGAAATGCCCCTGGAATCCTCCCAGTCCCATTCTCCCGGTGAGGAATCCTCCCAAAATCCTTATGGATTCTGACCCATCCCATCCTCCGGGTGAGGAAATCTCCCAAAACCCCCCTGGAATCCACCCCGTGGAATCCACTCCATCCCATCCTCCCAAAATCCCCCTGGAATCCACCCCATGGAATCTGCCCCATCCCATCCTCCAAGTAGGGAATGTTCTGGAAATCCTTCTGGAATCCTCCCAGTCCCCTTCTCCAGGTGAGGAATCCTCCCAAAATCCCCCTGGAATCCACCCCATGGAATCTGCCCCATTCCGTCCTTTGGAAACCCCCCTGGAATTGGCCCCATCCCGTCCTCTGGGCCAGGAATCCTCTGGAAATGCCCCTGGAATCCTCCCAGTCCTGTTTTCCAAGTGAGGAATCTTCCCAAAATCTCCTTGGAATCCACCCCATGGAATCTGCCCCATCCCATCCTCCAAGTGGGGAATCTTCTCTGGAATCTGCCCTGTGCCACCCTCCTGAAATCCCAAAGGATTCCATAGGGTGGTGCTATGGAATCTGCCCCATCCCTTTCTCCAGGTGGGGAATCTTTGGGAAAGCCCTCTGGAATCTGTCCCATTTCATTCTCCAGGTGAGGAATCATCCCAAAACCCCCCTGGAATTTACCCCATGGAATCTCCCCCATCTCATCCTCCCCAGATCCCTCTGGAATCCACTCCGTCCCATCCTCTGGAAACGCCCCTGGAATCTTCCCAATCCCATCCTCCAGGTGGGGAATCTTCTCTGGAATCCGCCCCATCCCATTCTCCTGAAATCCCCCTGGAATCCACCCCATGGAACCCACTCCATCCCATTCTCCAGAAGTCCTTCCAGAATCCTCCCAATCCCATCCTCCCGGTGGGGAATCTTCTGGAAATCACTCTGGTATCCTCCCGGTCCCATTCTCCAGGTGAGGAATCCTCCACAATCCCTCTAGATTCTGCCCCATCCCATCCTCCCCAAATCCCCCTGGAATCCACCCCATGGAACCCACCCCATCCCGTTCTCCAGAAATCCCTCCAGAATCCTCCCAATCCCATCCTCCAGGTGGGGAATCTTCTGGAAATCACTCTGGTGTCCTCCCAGTCCCATTCTCCAGGTGAGGAATCCTCCCAAAATCCCTCTGGAATCTGCCCCATTCCATCCTCCCCAAATCCCTCTGGAATGTGCCAAATCCCATCCTCTGGACCAGGAATCCTCTGGAAATTCCCCTGGAATCCTCCCAGTCCCATTCTCCAGGTGAGGAATCCTCCACAATCCCTCTGGATTCTGTCTCATCCCATCCTTCCCCTGGAATCCACCCTATGGAATCTTCCCCATCCCATTCTCCAGGTGGGGAATCTTCTCTGGAATCCGCCCCATCCCATTCTCCAGGTGAGGAATCCTCCCCAAATCCCCCTGGAATCCGCCCCATCCTGTCTAGGTGGAGAATGTTCTGGAAATCCCTCTGGAATCCCCCCAGTCCTGTTCTCCAGGTGAGGAATCGTCCACAATCCCTCTGGATTCTGTCCCATCCCATCCTTCCCCTGGAATCCACCCTATGGAATCTTCCCCATCCCATTCTCCAGGTGGGGAATCTTCTCTGGAATCCGCCCCATTCCATTCTCCCGAAATCCCCCTGGAATCCACCCCATGGAACCCACCCCATCCCGTTCTCCAGAAATCCCTCCAGAATCCTCCCAATCCCATCCTCCAGGTGGGGAATCTTCTGGAAATCACTCTGGTATCCTCCCAGTCCCATCCTCCAGGTGGAGAATCTTCTGGAAATCACTCTGGTATCCTCCCAGTCCCATTCTCCAGGCAAGGAATCTTCCCAAAATCCCCCTGGAATCTGCTCCATCCCATCCTCCCTAAATCCCCCTGGAACTCGCCCCATCCTGTCCAGGTGGAGAATGTTCTGGAAATCCCTCTGGAATCCCCCCAGTCCTGTTCTCCAGGTGAGGAATCCTCCACAATCCCTCTGGATTCTGCCCCATCCCATCCTTCCCCTGGAATCCACCCTATGGAATCTTCCCCATCCCATTCTCCAGGTGGGGAATCTTCTCTGGAATCTGCCCCATCCCGTTCTCCAGAAATCCCTCCAGAATCCTCCCAATCCCATCCTCCAGGTGGAGAATCTTCTGGAAATCACTCTGGAACCCTCCCAGTCCCATTCTCCAGGTGAGGAATCCTCCACAATCCCTCTGGAATCTGCCCCATCCCATCCTTCCCCTGGAATCCACCCTATGGAATCTTCCCCATCCCATTCTCCAGGTGGGGAATCTTCTCTGGAATCCTCCCCATCCCATTCTCCTGAAATCCCCCTGGAATCCACCCCATGGAACCCACCCCATCCCGTTCTCCAGAAATCCCTCCAGAATCCTCCCAGTCCCATCCTCCAGGTGGGGAATCTTCTGGAAATCCCTCTGGTATCCTCCCAGTCCCATTCTCCAGGTGAGGAATCCTCCACAATCCCTCTGGAATCTGCCAAATCCCATCCTCTGGACCAGGAATCCTCTGGAAATTCCCCTGGAATCCTCCCAGTCCCATTCTCCAGGTGAGGAATCCCCACAATCCCTCTAGAATCTGCCTCATCCCATCCTTCCCCTGGAATCCACCCTATGGAATCTTCCCCATCCCATTCTCCAGGTGGGGAATCTTCTCTGGAATCCGCCCCATCCCATTCTCCTGAAATCCCTCCAGAATCCTCCCAGTCCCATCCTCCAGGTGGAGAATGTTCTGGAAATCACTCTGGTATCCTCCCAGTCCCATTCTCCAGGTGAGGAATCCTCCCAAAATCCCCCTGGAATCTGCCAAATCCCATCCTCTGGACCAGGAATCCTCTGGAAATTCCCCTGGAATCCTCCTGGTCCCATTCTCCAGGTGAGGAATCCTCCCAAAATCCCCCTGGAATCTGCTCCATCTCATCCTCCCCAAATCCCTCTGGAATCTGCCAAATCCCATCCTCTGGAACAGGAATCCTCTGGAAATTCCCCTGGAATCCTCCCAGTCCCATCCTCCAGGTGGAGAATCTTCTGGAAATCCCTCTGGAATCCTCCCAGTCCCATTCTCCCGGTGAGGAATCCTCCCAAAATCCCTCTGGAATCTGCCAAATCCCATCCTCTGGACAAGGAATCCTCTGGAATTTCTCCTGGAATCCTCCCAGTCCCATTCTCCAGGTGAGGAATCCTCCACAATCCCTCTAGATTCTTTCCCATCCCATCCTCCCAAATCCCTCTGGAATCCACCCCATGGAACCCACCCCGAATCCCGGGACGATCCCGGCGGATCCGCTCGGGACGCACCTTCCAGGGCCCAGAGGAAGTGGCGGGCGGTGCGCAGCTCCTGCTCCAGGTGCCCGGGCCCGGCCGTGCCCTGCGAGGGCACCAGCCCCAGCTGCACCAGCAGCACCACCACGTCCGCGCTCATCCCCGCCCGCACGATCCGCAGCGCCGGCACCACGGCCACCAGCAGCAGCAGGGCCACCTGCGGGCACGGAATCCCCCGGGATCTCGGGATTTATGGCTCGGATCCCATTGGATTTAAGGTTCTGATCCCACAGGATTTCGGCATTTAGGGCTCGGATCCCGTGGGATTGAAGGTTCTGATCCTGTGGGATTTACAGCTCAAATCCTGTGGGATTTCGGGATTTATGGTTCAGATCCCATTGGATTTAAGGTTCTGATCCCACAGGATTTCGGGATTTATGGCTCAGATCCCATTGGATTTAAGGTTCTGATCCTGTGGGATTTACAGCTCAAATCCTGTGGGATTTTGGGATTTACAGCTCGGATCCCATTGGATTTAAGGTTCTGATCCCACAGGATTTCGGGATTTATGGCTCAGATCCCATTGGATTTAAGGTTCTGATCCCGTGGGATTTACAGCTCAAATACTGTGGGATTTACAGCTCAAATCCCACGGGATTTTGGGATTTACAGCTCGGATCCTGTGGGATTTAAGGTTCAGATCGCACAGGATTTCGGGATTTATGGCTCGGATCCCGTGGGATTGAAGGTTCTGATCCCGTGGGATTTACAGCTCAAATCTTGTGGGATTTTGGGATTTATGGCTCAGATCCCATTGGATTTAAGGTTCTGATCCCGTGGGATTTACAGCTCAAATCCTGTGGGATTTCGGGATTTATGGCTCAGATCCCATTGGATTTAAGGTTCTGATCCCATGGCAATTAAAGATCAAATCCTGTGGGATTTCAGGATTTATGGCTCAGATCCCATTGGATTTAAGGTTCTGATCCCATGGGATTTACAGCTCAAATCCTGCGGGATTTTGGGATTTATGGCTCGGATCCCATTCGATTTAAGGTTCTGATCCCACAGGATTTCGGGATTTATGGCTCGGATCCCATTGGATTTAAGGTTCCGATCCCGTGGGATTTACAGCTCAAATCCTGTGGGATTTCGGGGTTTATGGCTCAGATCCCATTGGATTTAAGGTTCTGATCCCATGGAATTTACAGCTCAAATCCTGTGGGATTTTGGGGTTTATGCCTCAGATCCCATTGGATTTAAGGTTCTGATCCCACAGGATTTCGGGATTTATGGCTCAGATCCCATTGGATTTAAGGTTCAGATCCTGTGGGATTTCGGGATTCATGGCTCAGATCCCATTGGATTTAAGGTTCTGATCCCGTGGGATTTACAGCTCAAATCCTGCGGGATTTTGGGGTTTATGCCTCAGATCCCATTGGATTTAAGGTTCTGATCCCACAGGATTTCGGGATTTATGGCTCAGATCCCATTGGATTGAAGGTTCTGATCCTGTGGGATTTACAGCTCAAATCCTGTGGGATTTCGGGATTTATGGCTCAGATCCCATGGGATTGAAGGTTCTGATCCCGTGGGATTTACAGCTCAAATCCTGCGGGATCTCGGGATTTATGGCTCGGATCCCATTGGATTTAAGGTTCTGATCCCGTGGCAATTAAAGATTAAATCCTGTGGGATTTTGGGATTTATGGCTCGGATCCCATTGGATTTAAGGTTCTGATCCTGTGGGATTTGCAGCTCAAATCCTGCGGGATCTCGGGATTTATGGCTCAGATCCCATGGGATGTAAGTCTCTGATCCCGTGGGATTTAAGGCTCTGATCCCCTGGGATTTACAGGTCAAATCCTGTGGGATTTACAGCTCAAATCCCGAGGGATTTTGGGATTTACAGCTCGGATCCTGTGGGATTTAAGGTTCAGATGCCACAGGATTTTGGGATTTATGGTTCAGATCCTGTGGGATTGAAGGTTCCGATCCCGTGGGATTTACAGCTCAAATCCTGTGGGATTTTGGGATTTACAGCTCGGATCCTGTGGGATTTAAGATTCAGATCCCACAAGATTTTGGGATTTATGGTTCAGATCCCATTGGATTGAAGGTTCCGATCCCGTGGGATTTACAGCTCAAATCCTGTGGGATTTCGGGATTTATGGCTTGGATCCCATTGGATTTAAGGTTCTGATCCCGTGGCAATTAAAGATCAAATCCTGTGGGATTTTGGGATTTATGGCTCGGATCCCATTGGATTTAAGGTTCTGATCCCGTGGGATTTACAGCTCAAATCCTGTGGGATTTCAGGATTTATGGCTCGGATCCCGTGGGATTGAAGGTTCTGATCCCGTGGAATTTACAGCTCAAATCCTGCGGGATTTTGGGATTTATGGCTCGGATCCCATTGGATTTAAGGTTCTGATCCCGTGGGATTTACAGCTCAAATCCCACGGGATTTTGGGATTTATGGCTCAGATCCCATTGGATTTAAGGTTCTGATCCCGTGGGATTTACAGCTCAAATCCTGCGGGATTTTGGGATTTAAGGCTCTGATCCCCTGGGATTTACAGCTCAAATCCTGTGGGATTTACAGCTCAAGTCCCGTGGGATTTTGGGATTTATGCCTCAGATCCCATTGGATTTAAGGTTCTGATCCCGTGGGATTTACAGCTCAAATCCTGTGGGATTTTGGGGTTTATGGCTCGGATCCCATTGGATTGAAGGTTCCGATCCCGTGGGATTTACAGCTCAAATCTTGTGGGATTTTGGGATTTACAGCTCGGATCCTGTGGGATTTAAGGTTCAGATCCCACAGGATTTCGGGGTTTATGGCTCAGATCCCATTGGATTGAAGGTTCTGATCCCGTGGGATTTACAGATCAAATCCTGTGGGATTTTGGGATTTGCAGCTCAGATCCCATTGGATTGAAGATTCTGATCCCGTGGGATTTACAGCTCAAATCCTGTGGGATTTTGGGATTTGCAGCTCAGATCCCATTGGATTTAAGGTTCCGATCCCATGGGATTTACAGCTCAAATCTTCGGGATCTCGGGATTTATGGCTCGGATCCCGTGGGATTGAAGGTTCTGATCCCGTGGGATTTACAGCTCAAATCTTGCAGGATTTTGGGATTTATGGCTCGGATCCCGTGGGATTGAAGGTTCCGATCCCGTGGGATTTACAGCTCAAATCCTGCGGGATTTTGGGGTTTATGGCTCAGATCCCGTGGGATTGAAGGTTCTGATCCCGTGGGATTTACAGCTCAAATCCTGCGGGATTTCGGGATTTACAGCTCGGATCCTGTGGGATTGAAGGTTCCGATCCTGTGGGATTTACAGCTCAAATCCTGTGGGATTTACAGCTCAAATCCTGCGGGATTTTGGGATTTATGGTTCCGATCCCACTGGATTTAAGGTTCTGATCCTGTGGGATTTACAGCTCAAATCCTGTGGGATTTACAGCTCAAATCCTGTGGGATTTCGGGATTTATGGCTCAGATCCCATGGGATGTAAATCTCTGATCCCGTGGGATTTAAGGCTCTGATCCCCTGGGATTTACAGCTCAAATCCTGCAGGATTTCGGGATTTATGGCTCAGATCCCATGGGATGCAAAGCTTTGATCCTGTGGGATTTACAGCTCAAGTCCTGTGGGATTTACAGCTCAAATCCTGTGGGATTTACAGCTCAAATCCTGTGGGATTTACAGCTCAAATCCCACGGGATTTTGGGATTTACAGCTCGGATCCTGTGGGATTTAAGGTTCAGATCCCACAGGATTTCGGGATTTATGGCTCAGATCCCATTGGATTTAAGGTTCTGATCCCGTGGAATTTACAGCTCAAATCCTGCGGGATTTTGGGATTTATGGCTCAGATCCTATGGGATGTAAAGCTTTGATCCTGTGGGATTTACAGCTCAAATCCTGCGGGATTTCAGGATTTATGGCTCGGATCCCGTGGGATGTAAGGCTCTGATCTCGTGGGATTTAGTCTCTGATCCCCTGGGATTTACAGCTCAAATCCCGTGGGATTTACAGCTCAAGTCCCGTGGGATTTTGGGATTTACAGCTCGGATCCCGTGGGATTGAAGGTTCAGATCCCACAGGATTTTGGGATTTATGGTTCAGATCCCACAGGATTTAAGGCTTGGATCCCATGGGATTTAAGGTTCTGATCTCATGGGATTTATGGGTCAGATCCCACGGGATTTAAGGCTAGATCCCCTGGGATTTTGGGATTTATGGTTCAGATCCCATGGGATTTAAAGCTCAAATCCCATGGGATTTTGGGATTCATGGTTCAGATCCCACAGGATTTCAGGATTTACTGCTCAGATCCCATAGGATTTAAAGCTCGGATCCTGCAGGATTTTGGGATTTACAGTTGAGGTCCCATGGGATTTTGGGATTTATGGCTCAGATCCTGTGGGATTTAAGGTTCTGATCCCGTGGCAATTAAAGATCAAATCCCATGGGATTTTATGATTTACAGCTCGAATCCGGTGGGATTTAAGGATCAGATCCCACAGGATTTTGGGATTTATGACTTGGATCTCACAGGATTTAGAGCTCAAATCCCATGAGATTTTAGGATTCCCAGCTCAGACCTCATGGGATTTACAGCTTGGACCCCACAGGATTTACGGCACAGATCCTGGAGGATTTTGGGATGTACGGCTCAGATCCCACAGGATTTTGGGATTTACAGCATGGATCCCTCAGGATTTAGGGATTTATGGCGCGGATCCCGCAAGATTTACAGCTCAGATTCCGCAGAATTTAGGGATTTGTGGCTCAGATCCCATGGGATGTCAGGATTTATGGGAGCGTGGAATTCCATCTGGAATTTTAACGCCATTCCCAGGTGACCCCCAGGATCCTCTGGGAATGTCACCTGGTAGACGGCGACGACGGCCACGGTGACGGACACCACCAGCTTCAGCGGGATCCGGAATCCTGGAGGGAAAATCGGGAATTTGGGATGGTGGAGCAGGATCAGGGTGTACCCAGCAAAGGGAACACCCTTTGGAATGGGATTTCCACAAGGAATTTCTGCCGGGATGGCGAGTCGGGAATGGATGGATGGCTCCATCCTGCTTTTCCATGGAAACTCAGGATTTTCCCTGCCCCCTGCATGGATGGGAACGGCTCCACATTCCCGGGATTTCACCTCCTCAGTGCAGGGCAATTCCCTTCTCCAGCCCCCGGGTTCTCCAGTCCTTCCCTGGCCGAGATTTCCCAGGAAAACCATGGCTGGCCAAAACTCCCTGGGATTGTCCCAGGATCCCTTTTCCATGGATTTATGGTGCCTCCATCAGGATCCCATCATTCCCAGAATCTCTTTTCAATGGATTTATGGGGCCTCCATGGGGTTCCCATCATTCCCAGAATCCCTTTTCCATGGATTTAGGGGCTCCCATGGGTTTCCCATAATTCCATAGATTTGTGGGGTCTCCATGGGGTTTCCCATCACTCTCATCACTCTCAGAAGTCCTTTTCCATGGATTTGTGGGGCCTCCATGGGGTTCCCATCACTCCCATCATTCCCAGAACCCTTTTCCATGAAATTAAGGGGTCTCCATGGGGTTCCCATCATTCCCAGAACCTTTTTTCATGGATTTGTGGGGCCTCCATGGTGTTCCCATCATTCCCAGAATCTCTTTTTAATGGATTTATGGGACTCCCATGGGTTTCCCACGATTCCATGGATTTGTGGGATCTCCAATGGGTTTTCCGTAATTCCATGGATTTATGGGGTCTCCATGGGGTTCCCATCACTCTCATCACTTCCAGGACTCCTTTTCCATGGATTTGTGGGGTCTCCATTGGGTTCCCATCACTCCCAGGCCCCTTTTTCCATGGATTTGCGGATCCCTGCCCCAAGCTCGGCTGGATTTGGGCTCCAAGCCCGGCCAGGTAGGACAGGGCTTGGAGACACCCGGGATTTTGGGAATGGCCTGGCTGATCCATAAACCCCAACCCCAACCATTCCCAGATTCCTTGGGATTTTCCGGGTGCCCACCTTCCTCGGGAATGTAGATGTAGGAGCGCAGGTAGGAGCAGATCCGGGAGCTGAGGCTCTCGTCGATCTTGGAGCTGCGGGAGGTGGGAGAGGGCGACATTCCTGACCTTTGGGAATGGCATTTGCCGGGAATGGGATTTTCTGGGAATGGGAATTTCCATCCTTACCTCCCCTTCTGAGCCCGTTTGGACAGCAAGGCCTTGAGGTACTTCCTGTAATAGCTTTTCCCGGAAATCTGGGAATAACGGATGGATTTGGGGTGGCAGAGCTGCTCTGGCCGCCCCCTCATCCCGAGCGTATCCCGACAGGAATTCCTGAGCCGGCGTACATGTTGGTATGGGAAAGTGGGAATAAAGCAGGATTTTGTTCCCAAACGCCTCCAGAATCCCCCGTTCCCGCCTGAGGGGTCACCTCAGGCCTTTCCCGCTTTTCCGTCCTCTCTTCCCAACAAAGCCCTGAGGGATTATCCGGGAAAACGAGGAGAGCCCGGAGCCGGCCTGAATGGAGCCATTGATGCCGGGAGCCCCTTGTGGAAGGGATTTATCCCAAAGGAATTTCCCGACCCTGCTGCCGGTCTGGGACAGACACGGAGAAACCACAGCGGCTGGGCTGGGAGGGGAACGTGTGGAGACACCGATCCCGATCCCAGTACCGATCCCAATCCTGATCCCGATCCCAAACCCAATCCTGGCATAGCAAGGGAGAACCCACAGTGGCAGGGCTGGAAGGGGAACGTGCAGAGATCCCAATCCCAATCCAAATCCCAATCCCAATCCCGATTCCTATCCCAATCCTAATCCCAAACCATGGGAGAACCCCAGCAGCAGGGGTGGGAGAGGAACGTGTGGAAATCCTGATCTCAATCCCAATCCCGATCCTGATGCCAATCCCAATCCCAAACCTAATCCCCGGACAGCAATGGAGAACCCCCAGCGGCAGGGATGGAAGGGGAACATGTGGAGTTCCCGATCTCAATTCCGATCCCAATCCTGATTCCGATCCTGATGCTGATCCCAATCCCGATCCCGACCCCGATCCTGATCCTGATCCCGACCCCGATCCTGATCCCGACCCCGATCCTGATCCTGACCCCGATCCCAATCCCAATCCCGATCCTGATCCTGATCCTGATCCCGACCCTGATCCTGATCCCAATCCCAATCCTGATGAGGAATTCTCGTTTCTGTACCAGCGGCTCAGGGCTGTCCCTGCTGTGGAGGCTGCGCAGGAGCTGTGCCGGGTACCAATCCTGATCCCAATCCCAATCCTGAACCCATCCCAATCCCAATCCTACCCCAATCCCACCCCAATCCTGATCCTGACCCCAATGCCGAGTTCCATGTCTGTACCGGCAGCTCGGGGCCATCCCCATTCCGGAGGCTGTGCTGGGGCAGCGCTGGGTACCAATCCCACCCCTAATCCTGATCCCAGTCCCAATCCCAAACCCATCTCAATCCCAATCCCACCCCAGTCCCACCCCAATCCTGACCCCGATCCCAATTCCTCTCCCGAGTTCCATGTCCATACCAGCTGCTCGGGGCCATCCCCGTCGCGGAGGCTGCACAGGAGCTGTTCTGGGTACCAATCCCGATCCCAATCCCAATCCCGATCCCAATCCCAATCCCAATCCCAATCCTAACCCCGATCCTGATCCCTCTCCCCGAGTTGCCGTGTCGGTACCGGTGGCTCAGGGCTGTCCCCATTCCGGAGGCTGCACAGGAGCTATTTTGGGTACCAATCCTGATCCCAATCCCAATCCTGATCCCGATCCCGATCCCGATCCCGATCCCGATCCCGATCCCAATCCTGATCCCGATCCTGATCCCGATCCCGATCCCAAGTTCCCGTGTCGGTACCGGCGTTTCGGGGCCGTCCCCGTCCCGGAGGCTGCGCAGGAGCTGTGCCGGGTACCAGAGGCTGAGCAGGGCCAGGGACAGCAGCACGGGGACGTGGGACAGCAGCGAGTACAGCCGGTGGATCTGCGGGGACAGCGCTGTCACTGCCACCGCCCGGGACAGTGACACTGCCTGGGGACACGGGGACACTGACACCGCCCGGGACAGTGACACTGCTCTGGGGACACTGACACCGCCCGGGACAGTGACACTGCTCCCGGGACACGGGGACACTGACACCACCCGGGACAGTGACACTGCTCCCAGGGACACGGGGACAGTGACACCATCCAGGGACAGTGACACTGCTCTGGGGACACTGACACCATCCAGGGACAGTGACACTGCTCTGGGGACACGGGGACACTGACACCACCCGGGACTGTGACACTGCTCTGGGGACACTGACACCATCCAGGGACAGTGACACTGCTCCGGGGACACGGGGACACTGACACCACACGGGGACACTGACACCACCCAGGGACAGTGACACTGCTCCAGGGGACACTGACACCGCCCAGGGACAGTGACACTGCTCCCGGGGACACGGGGACACTGACACCACACGGGGACACTGACACCACCCAGGGACACGGGGACACTGACACCATCCAGGGACAGTGACACTGCTCCAGGGGACACTGACACCACCCGGGACAGTGACACTGCTCCGGGGACACGGGGACACTGCCCAGGGACACGGGGACACTGACACCATCCAGGGACAGTGACACTGCTCCGGGGACACGGGGACACTGACACCACACGGGGACACTGACACCACCCAGGGACACAGGGACAGTGACACCATCCAGGGACAGTGACACTGCTCCGGGGACACGGGGACACTGACACCGCCCGGGACAGTGACACTGCCCGGGGACACTGACATTGCCCAGGGACAGTGACACTGCTCCTGGGGACACGGGGACACTGACACCATCCAGGGACAGTGACACTGCTCCGGGGGACACGGGGACACTGACACCACACGGGGACATGGGGACACTGACACCACCAGGGACAGTGACACTGCCTGGGGACAGTGACACTACCCCTAGGGACATGGGGACACTGACACCACACAAAGACAGTGACACTGCCTGGGGACACAGGGACAGTGACACCACACGGGGACAATGACACCTCCCTGAGGACACTGATATCACCCGGGGGACAGTGACACTGCCTGGGGACAGTGACACCACTGGGGACAGTGACACCGCCCAGGTCACGGGGACACTGACACTGCCCAGGGACAGTGACACCACTGGGGACAAGGGGACAGTGACACCACCGGGGACAGTGACACCACTCAGGGACACTGAAACCACCCTGGGGACACCGGCACCACTCTGAGGACACCACCACCACCACCCTGGGGACACCACCACCACCACCCTGGGGACACCATCACCACCCTGGGGACATCACCACCCAGGGACACTGCCACCACCCTGGGGACATCACCACCCCCATGGACACCATGTCACTGCCAACACCCCAGGGGCACACAGTAGCGGCCACCACCCCAGGGACACCAGGTCACTGCCACCACCCTGGGGTCACGATGCCCAACCCCTCAGGGCCACCCCAGGAGGTGACAAGGGAGCCACAAACCCTTAGGGGCCACCTCAGGAGGTGACAAGGGACCCATGACACCTCAGGGCCACCTCAGGAGGTGACAAGGGACCCATGACACCTCAGGGACACCCCAGGAGGTGACAAGGGAACCATGACACCCCAGGGCCACCCCAGGAGGTGACAAGGGACCCATGACACCTCAGGGCCACCCCAGGAGGTGACAAGGGAACCATGACACCCCAGGGACACCCCAGGAGGTGACAAGGGAACCATGACACCTCAGGGACACCCCAGGAGGTGACAAGGGAACCATGACACCTCAGGGACACCCCAGGAGGTGACAAGGGAACCATGACACCTCAGGGTCACCCCAGGAGGTGACAAGAAATCGACAAACCCTCAGGGCCACCCCAGGAGGTGACAAGGGAGCCACATCTCCTCAGCGCCACCTCAACCGTCCATGCCACCACCGTGCCACCCACCTGGGGCGCCAGGGGACACTGTGCGCGCTGCCAGGCGTGCGCCCCGCAGTGTCCCCAGGCCAGCAGGGTCCCCGCGGCGTAGCCCAGGCGGTGCCGGGGGCCGGCGCAGGCCAGCAGGGGCGAGTAGAGCGCCGGCACGTAGAGCAGGGCCAGAACCTTCCAGAACTCTGCCACGGCCAGCCCGGTCAGCGCGGGGACACGGGGACACTGCCACCGCCATGGGGACACCGCCACCACCATGGGGACACCGCCACCACCATGGGGACACCGCCACCACCATGGGGACACCGCCACCGCCACGGGGACACAGGGACACGGGGACACAGGGACACGGGGACACGGGGACACCGCCACCGCCATGGGGACACCGCCACCGCCACGGGGACACAGGGACACGGGGACACAGGGACACGGGGACACCGGGGACACGGGGACACCACCACCGCCATGGGGACACCGGGGACACGGGGACACCATCACCGCCATGGGGACACAGGGACACGGGGACACCGCCACCACCACAGGGACACCAGGGACACGGGGACACGGGGACACCACCATCACCCTGGGATATGGGGACACCACCCTGGGGACATGGAGACACTGCCACTGCCCTGGGGACATGGGGACATGGCCACCATCCTGGGGACATGGGGACAATGCCCTGGAGACAGGGGGACACCTCCCTAGGAACACTGCCACAGCCTGGGGGACATGGGGACACCGCCACTGCCCGGGGACATGGGGACGCCACCACTGCCCTTGGGACATGGGGACATGGACACCATCCTGGGGACATGGGGACACCGCCCTGGGGACACTGCCACCACCTGGGGGACACGGGGACAACGTCACCACCCTGGGACATGGGGACACCGCCCGAGGGACATGGGGACACCACCACTGCTCTGGGAACATGGGGACACCACCCAAGGGACATGAGGACACCGCCACCACCCCAGGGACATGGGACACTGCCCTGGGGACACCACCACCATCCCAGAGACACCAGCACTGCCCTGAGGACATGGGGACACCACCCAAGGGACATGGGGACACCACCACCACTGGCCCAGGGACACGGGGACACCACCACCACCCTGGGTACACTGCCTGGGGACATGGGACTCCGCCCGAGGGACATGGGGACACTGCCACTGCCCTGGGGACATGGGGGACACCGTCTCAGGGACACCACCACCACCCCGGGGGACATGGAGACACTTCCACTGCCCTGGGACATGGGGACATGGCCACCACCCTGGGGACATGGGGACACCGCCACTGCCCCAGGGACACGGGGTCAGTGCCACCAGCCCAGCCAGCCCTTCCCAGAGTGGGGAGTTGGGAATCCTGAGTCCCCCCCAGGATGGGATTTGGACATTCTGAGACCTTCCCAGAGCAGGGAATTTGGGAGCTGGGATGGGATTTGGGAGCTGGGATGGGATTTGGGAATCCCGAGCCCTTCCCAGGATGGGATTTGGGAACTGGGATGGGATTTGGGAATTCTGAGCCCTCCCTGGGATGGGATTTTGGGAATTGGGATGGGATTTGGGAGCCAATATGGGATTTGGGAACCGGGATGGGATTTAGGAACTGGGATGGGATTTGGGAATCCCGAGTCCTTCCCAGGAGGGGATTTTGGGAACTGGGATGGGATTTGGGAACTGGGATGGGATTTGGGAACTGGGATGGGATTTGGGAGCCAAAATGGGATTTGGGAATCCCGAGCTCTCCCTGAGATTGGATTTTTGGGAATTGGGATGGGATCTGGGAGCCAGGATGGGATTTAGGAGCTGGGATGGGATTTGGGAATTCTGAGCCCTCCCTGGGATGGGATTTTGGGAATTGGGATGGGATCTGGGAGCCGGGATGGGATCTGGGAGCCGGGATGGGATTATGTAACCGGGATGGGATCTGGGAGCCGGGATGGGATCTGGGAGCCGGGATGGGATCTGGGAGGCGGGATGGGATCTGGGAGCCGGGATGGGATCTGGGAGCCGGGATGGGATCTGGGAGCCGGGATGGGATCTGGGAGCCGGGATGGGATTATGTAACCGGGATGGGATCTGGGAGCCGGGATGGGATCTGGGAGCCGGGATGGGATCTGGGAGGCGGGATGGGATTTGGGAACCGGGATGGGATCTGGGAGCTGGGATGGGATCTCAGAGCTGGGATGGGATCTGGGAGCCGGGATGGGATTTGGGAGCCGGGATGGGATTTAATAACTGGGATGGGATTTGGGAATTCTGAGCCCTTCCCAGGATGGGATTTTGGGAATTGGGATGGGATTCGGGAACTGGGATGGGATTTGGGAATCCTGAGCTCTCCCTTAGATGGGATTTTTGAGAACTGGGATGGGATTTGGGAGCCGGGATGGGATTTGGGAACTGGGATGGGATCTGGGAACCAGGATGGGATTTGGGAATTCTGAACCCTCCCCAGGATGGGATTTTTGAGAACTGGGATGGGATTTGGGAGCCGGGATGGGATCTGGGAGCTGGGATGGGATTTGGGAGCCGGGATGGGATCTGGGAACCAGGATGGGATCAGGGAGCCGGGATGGGATCTGGGAACCAGGATGGGATTATGTAACCGGGATGGGATTTTGGGACCCAGGATGGGATCTGGGAGCCGGGATGGGATCTGGGAACCAGGATGGGATCTCAGAGCCGGGATGGGATTATGTAACCGGGATGGGATCTGGGAGCCGGGATGGGATCTGGGAGCCGGGATGGGATCTGGGAGCCGGGATGGGATTTTGGGAACCAGGATGGGATCTGGGAGCCGGGATGGGATCTGGGAGCCAGGATGGGATCTGGGAGCCAGGATGGGATCTGGGAACCGGGATGGAATTTGGGAACCGGGATGGAATTTGGGAACTGGGATGGTATTTTGGGAATTGGGATGGGATCTGGGAGCCGGGATGGGATCTGGGAACCGGGATGGGATCTGGGAACCGGGATGGGATTTGGGAGCCGGGATGGGATTTGGGAGCCGGGATGGGATCTGGGAGCCGGGATGGGATTTTGGGAACCGGGATGGGATCTGGGAGCTGGGATGGGATCTGGGAGCCGGGATGGGATCCGGGAATGTCTCACCGCGCCGGGCCGGCTCGGTGCCGTCGGAGCGCGGCTGCAGGAGCGGCAGCGGCGCCGGGAGCAGCAGCAGCCGGCACAGCTCCGACAGCAGCAGCGCCAACACCGCCGCAGCCACCGCGCGCTGCCCGTCCCGCTCCAGCGGGTTCCCGGGGCTGCAACGGGAATTCCGGAATGCAGGGAGTTTGGGAATGGCCGGGGAGTTCGGGAATGGCCAGGCAGTTTGGGAATGGCCAGGCAGTTTGGGAATGGCCAGGGAGTTTGGGAATGGCCAGGGAGTTTGGGAATGGCCAGCGAGTTTGGGAATGGCCGGGGAGTTTGGGAATGGCCGGGGAGTTTGGGAATGGCCAGAGTCAGGAATGTTCAGGGAACTGGGGATGTCCACAGAGTTGGGAATCGTCAAGAGTTGGGAATGTTCAGGGAGTTTGGGAATGTTCAGGGAACCAGGAATGTTCAGGGAACCAGGAATGTTCAGGGAGCTGAGAATGTTCAGGGATCTGGGAATGCTCAGGGAATCGGGAATGTTCAAGAGTTGGAAATGTTTAGGAGTCGGGAGTGTTCAGGGAGATTGGGAATGTCCAGGGAGTCAGGAACATCCAGTGAGTTTGGGAATGTACAGGGAGTTTGGGAATGTACAGGAAGTCGGGAATGTTCAGGGAATTGGGAATGTTTAGGAAGCTTGGGAATGTCAAGGAAATCGGGAATGTTCAGGAATTTGGGAATATCCAGGGAGTTCAGGAACATCCAGTGAGTTTGGGAATGTTCAGGGAGCTTGGGAATGTCAAGGAAATCAGGAATGTTCAGGGAATTGGGAATGCTCAGGGAGTTGGGAATATTCAGGGAGTCAGGAACGTCCAGGGACTTTGGGAATGTCCAGGAGTCGGGAATGTCCAGGGAGTTGGGAATGTTCAGGGAATCAAGAATGTTCAAAGAGTCAGGAATGTTCAGGGAGTTTGGAATGTCCAGGGAGTTGGGAATATTCAAGAGTTGGGAATGTTCAGGGAACCGGGAATGTTCGGGGAGTTTGGGAATGTTCAGGGAACTGGGAATGTCCAGGGAGTCAGGAACATCCAGGAAGTTTGGGAATGTTCAGGGAGTTTGGGAATGTACAGGAAATCGGGAATATTCAAGAATTGGGAATGTTCAGGGAACCAGGAATATTCGGGGAGTTTGGGAATGTTCAGGGAACTGGAAATGTTCAGGGAGTTTGGGAATGTCCAGGGAGTCAGGAACGTCCAGGAAGTTTGGGAATGTTCAGGGAGTTTGGGAATGTACAGGAAGTCGGGAATGTACAGGAAGTTGGGAATGTTCAGGGAGTTTGGGAATGTCAAGGAAATCGGGAATGTTCAGGAATTTGGGAATATCCAGGGAGTTCAGGAATGTCCACAGAGTTGGGAATGTTCAGCGAGTTGGGAATTCTCAGGGAGTCGGGAATGTTCAAGAGTTGGGAATATCCAGGATTCGGGAATGTTCAGGGAGTCGGGAATGCCGGGCCTTGCCGGGCACTCGGGAATTTCCACTCCTTGCCAGAGAGTCGGGAATTCCAGGTCCTTCCCAGGGATTTAGGAATTCCCACTCCTCCCAGGAAATTCCCACTCCTTGTCAGGAAATTTGGGAATTCCCACTCATTCCCAGGGAATTCCTGCTCCTTCCCAGGCACTCAGGAATTCTTGCTCCTTCCCAGGGATTTTGGGAATTCTGGGTCCTTCCCAGAGACTTGGAAATTCTCGCTCCTTGCCAGAGATTTCAGGAATTCCCACTCCTTCCCAGGGAGGAATTTTGGGAATTCTCACTCTTTCCCAGGGATTTGGGAATTCCAGGTCCTTCCCAGGGAGGAATTTTGGGAATTCCAAGGCCTTTCCATGGATGGATCAGCAGGGCTTGGGAATTCTGAGTCCAAGGATGTCCAAGTTTCCAAGGAGGGGTTTTGGGAATTCCGAGCCCTTTCCAGGAATGGGATTTTGGGAATTCCCAGTTCTTTCCATGGGATGGGATCAGTGGGCTTTTGGGAATTTCCAGGGAAGGGATTTGGGAATTCCAAGCCCTTTCCAAGGAAGGGAATTTGGGAATTCTGGGTCATCTCCAAGGATGGGATTTTGGGAATTCCAAGCTCTTCCCAGGGATGGGATTTGGGAATTCTGAGTCATTTCCAGGGAGGGATTTTGGGAATTCCAAGCCCTTTGCAGGGATGGGATTTTGGGAATTCCGAGCCCTTTCCAGGGAGGGATCAGTGGGATTTTGGGAATTCCGTACCTGAGCAATCCCGGGACGCCATTCCAGCAATTCCGGTGGAGCCGGCGGCGCTTGACCAGGAAGGACAAGGCCAGGAGCACGGCCAGCTGGAACGGGATGGAAATCCATGGAAAAGGTGCTGGGAGCACTGGGAACCCCGTGGAAACCCCATGGAAACCCCAAAAATCCATGGAAAACGGTTCTGGGAATGATGGTAACCCCACAGAGACACCATAAATCCATGGAAAACAGACACGGGAATGATGGGAACCCCATGGAAATCCCATAAATCCATGGAATGATGGGAATGATGGGATCATCACAGAATCCCATAAATTCATGGAAAATGGTTCTGGGAATGATGAGAATAATGGGATCCCTGCAGAGACCCCATAAATTTATGGAAAAGGGCTCTGGGAATGATGGGAACCCCACAGAGACCCCGTAAGTCCATGGAAAACAGACATGGGAATGACGGGAATGATGGGAACCCCATGGAAATCCCATAAATCCATGGAAAAGGGTTCTGGGAATGATGGGAGAGGTGGGAACCCCATAAATCCATGGAATGATGGAAATGATGGGATCCTCATGGAAACCCCATAAATCCATGGAAAACTGTTCTGGGATTAGTGGGACACCCATGGAGACCCCATAAATCCATGGAAAACAGACTTGGGAATGTTGGGAATGATGGGGACCCCATGGAAATCCCATAAATTCATGGAATGATGGGAATGATGGGATCATCACAGAATCCCATAAATCCATAGAAAAGGGTTCTGGGAATGATGGGAATAATGGGAACCCTGCAGAGACCCCATAAATTTATGGAAAAGGGTTCTGGGAATGATGCGAACCCCATGGAGACCCCATAAATCCATGGAAAACAGACTTGGGAATGATGGGAATGATGGGGACCCCATGGAAATCCCGTAATTCCATGGAAAAGAGACTTGGGAATCATGGGAACCCCATGGAAACCCCATAAATCCATGGAATGATGGAAATGATGGGATTCTCATAGAAACCCCATAAATCCATGGAAAAGGGTTCTGGGAATGATGGGAACCCCATGGAGACCCCATAAATCCATGGAAAAACAAGCCCTGGGAATGATTTGGGAGGAATTTTGGAGTTCTTGTCTCACAGGGAAGCGAAATCCCAGAAATCCGGGAATTCTGGGATGGTTTAGGTGGGAAAATCCATCCAAGAGGGCGCCGGCAATGAAATCTGTGGATTCTGGGCAGGGAACGGAATGTGGGAAATTTGGGATTGGGGTTTTTTGGGGGGAATTTTGGGGCGGATACTCACGGAAATTGGAGCCATGATGGTGTGGTACAGCCGGGGGGAGATTGTGGGGTGGCATTCCGGGATGGCGTCGGGAAAAAGGCTGGAAAAATGGGAAAAATCCTGGATTTGGGTGGGTTTGACCCTAAAAGGGCTGGGGGAAATGGGAAAAAGCCCATTTGGGATTTTTGGGATTTTCCCCCTGTAAAAGGGCCAGGAAAAATGGGGAAAACAATGGGAAAATGGTGGAAAATCTCAGATTTAGGTTTAACCCTAAAAGGGCCCGGAAAATGATGGAAAAATCGGAAAAAATCCCAGATTTTGGTGGGTTTAACCCTAAAAGGGCCCGGAAAATGATGGAAAAACTGGAAAAATCCCAGATTTGGGTGGATTTGATCATAAAGGGCTGGGAAAAACAGGAAAAGTCCCAGATTGTGGATTTTTAGGATTTTTTGGGATTTCCCCCCTTAAAAGGGCTGGAAAAATGGGAAAATGGGAAAAAAATTCCATATTTGGGTTTAATCCTAAAAGGGCTGGGAAAAACAGGAAAAATCCCAGATTTGGAATTCTGGGGATTTTTGGTATTTCCCCCCTTAAAAGGGCTGGGGAAAATGGGAATAGCGATGGGAAAATGGGAAAAATCCCATATTTGGGTTTAACCCTAAAAGGGCTGGGGAAATGATGGAAAAATCGGGAAAATCCCATATTTGGGTGGGATTGACCCTAAAAGGGTCCAGAAAATGATGGAAAAATCGGAAAAAAATCCCAGATTTGGGTGGATTTGATCCTAAAGGGCTGGGAAAAGCAGGAAAAGTCCCAGATTGTGGATTTTTAGGATTTTTTGGGATTTCCCCCCTTAAAAGGGCTGGAAAAATGGGAAAATGGGAAAAAAAAATTCCATATTTGGGTTTAATCCTAAAAGGGCTGGGAAAACCAGGAAAAATCCCAGATTTGGAATTCTGGGGATTTTTGGGATTTCCCCCCTTAAAAGGGCCAGGAAAAATGGGGAAAACAATGGGAAAATGGTGAAAAATCTCAGATTTAGGTTTAACCCTAAAAGGACCCAGAAAATGATGGAAAAATCGGAAAAAATCCCAAATTTTGGTGGGGTTAACCCTAAAAGGGCCCAGAAAATGATGGAAAGACGGGAAAAATCCCAGATTTGGAATTCTGGGGATTTTTGGGATTTCCCCCCTTAAAAGGGTTGGGGGAAATGGGAATAGCGATGGGAAAATGGGAAAAATCCCATATTTGGGTTTAACCCTAAAAGAGCTGGGAAAATGATGGAAAAATGGGAAAATCCCAGATTTGGGTGGGGTTTGACCCTAAAAGGGCCTGGAAAATGATGGAAAAACAGGAAAAATCCCAGATTCGGGTTTAACTCTAAAAGGGCTGGGGAAGGCAGGAAAAATCCCAGATTTGGGATTTTTAGGATTTTTGGGATTTTAGGAGCACTTTGAGGACCCTTTGGGTGACATTTTGGGGCCACTTTTGGGGACATTTTGGGGATATTTTGGGGATATTTTGGGGATATTTTGGGGGATATTCTGGGAGTATTTTTGGGGACATTTGGGGCCATTTTTGGGGACATTTTGGGGACACTAATGGGGAACTCTTGGGGCCACTTTGAGGACACTTTTGGGGGATATTTTGGGGACATTTTTGTGACTTTGGGGGACATTTTGGGGCCACTTTTGGGGGCATTTTTGGGGACATTTTGGTGACATTCTGGGGGATAGTTTGGGGACATTTTGAAGGCATTTTGGGGGCCATTTTGGGGATATTTTGGGGACATTTTTGGGGATATTTTGGGGACATTTTTGGAACTTTGGGGGACATTTTGGGGCCACTTTTGGGGATATTTTGGGGACATTTTTGGAACTTTGGGGGACATTTTGGGGCCACTAATGGGGAACATTTGGGGCCACTAATGGGGAATTTTTTGGGCCACTTTGGGAATACTTTTAGGGGATATTTTGGGGACATTTTGGGGCCACTCACTCATCCTGGGCCGTGGACTCGGTGGATTCGTAGATGTACCAGTCGGATCCCAAATCCTCATCCAGGAAAATCCCCGGCTCCGGAGGGGAATCCCGAATTCCCACCGAGCCGTTGGGGGCCATGGCTGCCCCTTCCCCGCCGGGATCCCCGCGGCTGGAAAAGCAGGAAAAATGGGGGGAAAATGGGGAAAACCCTGGGAAAAAGGGGGAAAAACACTGGGAAAAGCAGGAAAAATGTCGGGAAAGTGGGAAAAACATTGGGAAAGTGGGAAAAACCCTGGGAAAGTGGGAAAAATAATGGGAAAAGAGGGGGAAAACACAGGAAAAGTGGGGAAAATGCCAGGAAAATGGGGGGAAAATTGAAAAATAGGGGAAAACCCCGTGAAAATGGGAAAAACCCTGGGAAAAGCAGGAAAAACACCGGGAAAGTGGGTAAAACGCCAGGAAAGTGGAAAAAACACTGGGAAAGTGGAAAGATAATGGGAAAAGTGGGGGAAAACCACAAAAAAGTGGGAAAACCCCCAGGGAAAGCAGGAAAAACCCAGTAAAGTGGGAAAAAAACCCAGGAAAAGTGGGAAAAAAACAGGAAAGTGGGAAAAACCCCAGGAAAAGTGGGAAAAATGCCGGGAAAATCAGGAAAAACCCTAGGAAAAGTGGGGGAAATGCCGGAAAAGTGGGAAAAACCCCAGGAAAAATGGGAAAAACACTGGAAAAATCAGGAAAAAGCCCAGGAAAAGTGGGAAAAATGCCAGGAAAGTGGGAAAAAATGCTGGGAAAAGAGGAAAAAATTGTTGGAAATGGGAAAATCCTGGGAAAAGAGATAAAAACCCTTGGAAAGTGAGGAAAATTATGGGGAAAGCGGGGAAACTGCTGGGGAAATCGGGAAAACCACGGGAAAAGTGGGAAAAATGCTGGGAAAAGTGGGGTGGGGGCTAAAAAGGTCAGAAAAACACCAGAAAAAGTGGGAAAAATGATGGGAAAAGCAGGAAAAATGCCAGGGAAAGAGGGATGGGGGCTGGAGAAATAGGGAAAACTCCAGGAAAAGAGGGAAAAACGCAGGGAAAACACCAGGAAAAGTGGGATAGGGGTTGGAAAAGTGGGGAAAAACACCGGGAAAAGCCAGAAAAACGATGGGAAAAGTGGGAGAACCGCCAGAAAAAATGGGGAGAACTGCAGGGTGAGAGGGATAGGGGCTGGAAAAGCGGGAAAAATGATAGGAAAAGTGGGAAAAAGACCAGGAAAAGTGGGGAAAATGACGGGGAAAGTGGGGAAAAAAGCGGGAAAAGTGGGAAAAGTACCGGGAAAAGTGGGATGGGGGCTGGAATCCCAATTCCCGGCGGAATTCCCGCTGCTCCCCGAGCGGGGGCGGGGCCGCTCCCGGAGCCGCTCCCGCCTTTGTTTGGGTTTTTCTGGGAATTCTTCCCGCTGGAAAAGCGGCGCAAAGGCCACAGGGAGGGGGGAGGGGCGGCAGCCGTGCTGTCCCCAAAGTGCCACCAGCGGCGACATCGCCAGCCCGGGAATTGTCCCCATTCCCATCCCAGGAATTGTCCCCGTCCCCATCCAAGGAATTGTCCCCAGTGCCATCCCAGGGATTGTCCCCAGTGCCATCCCGGGAATTCCGATCAGTTTGGAGCCAGGACAACCCCAAAATGTCCCTAAATGTCACCTGGGGGGCCTGGGGACACCCCAGGAGCAGCTCCGGGGACATTCCTGGGGACACTGGGGACATCCCGGGAATTGGGGACATCCCAGGGATTGCAGACAGCCCTGGGGACATTGGGGACACCCCTGGGGACATTGGGGACATCCCGGGAATTTGGGACATCCCTGGGGACATTGGGGACACCCCTGGGGACACTGGGGACATCCTGGGAACTGGGGACAGTCCTGGGGACATTGGGGACATCCCTAGAATTGGGGACACCCCGGGAGCAGCTCTGGGGTCACCCTTGGGGACATTGGGGACACGGCTCGGGGCTGTCCCCAGGGCTGTGAGGGGACAACTGGGGCTGGGACTGCCCCAGGGATCGGGATCGGGATTGGGAATGGGATTGGGAATGGGATTGGGAATGGGATGGGGATTGGGATCACATTTGGGATTGGGATGAGGATGAGGATCAGGATCAGGATCAGGATCAGGATCAGGATCAGGATCGGGATTGGGATTGGAATTGGGATCAGGATTGGGATTGGGATTGGGATTGGAATCAGGATTGGGATCGGGATCAGGATTGGGGTTGGATTGGGACCAGGATTGGGATTGGGATCAGGATCAGGATTGGGATTGGGATCAGGATCGGGATGGGGATTGGGATTGGGATCGGGATTGGGTTCAGGATGGGCATCAGGATTGGGATGGGGATTGGGATCACATTTGGAATTGGAATTGGGATCGGGATCTGGATTGGGATTAGCATCAGGATCAGAATCGGGATTGGGTTTGAGATCAGGTTTAGGATTGGGTTTGGGATTGGGATCAAGATCAGGATCGAGATTAGAATCGAAATCAGGATTTGGATCGGATTGGGATCAGGTTTGGGATCGGGATTGAGATGGGGATTGGGGTGTGGATTGGGATCAGGATCAGGATTGGGATTGGGTTGGGGATTGGGATCACATTTGGGATTGGAATTGGGATCAGGATCAGGATCAGGATTGGGATCAGTATTGGGATCAGGATCAGGATCAGGATTGGAATTGGAATCAGGATTGGGATCAGATTGGGATCAGGTTTGGGATTGAGATTGGGATCAGAATTGGGATCAGGACAGATCCAAGAGGTCCCGGCAGGTGCCACCCAGCAGTGGCACTGTCACCGAGTGTCACCGAGTGTCACCGAGTGTCACCAAGTGTCACTGAGTGTCACCCCCGGCACCGCATCCCCGGCAGCTTTTCCTGGGGTTTCTCCCATGCCAGGATGGAAAATCTGGGATTTGTGTCTCCCTTCCCAAAAATCCGCTGGGAATCAGAGCCCGGCCTCTCCCTGGTCCTTGTGAGCCCAAACCCCAAACCCCAAACCTCATCACAAACCCCAAATCCCAAACCTCAAATCCCAAATCCCAAACCCCAGATCCCAAATCCCAAACCCCAAATCCCAAATCCCAAACTCCAAATCCCAAATCCTAAATCCCAAACCTCATCACAAACCCCAAATCCCAAATCCCAAACCCCAGATCCCAAATCCTAAATCCCAAACCTCATCACAAACCCCAAATCCCAAACCTCATCCCAAACCCCAAATCCCAAACATCATTGCAAATCCCAAATCCCAAATCTCATCCCAAATCCCAGTTTAGGATCCCAACAATCCCAAATCCCATCCCAAACTCCATTCGCAAAATCCCATACCCCATCCCAGATCCCATATCCAAAACCCCAAAACCCACTTTGGGATCCCACAAATCCCAGATCCCATCCCAAATCCCATCCCTGGTTTGGGAGCTGGGAGTGGGCTTTAGGGTTTGGGATTTGGGATTGGAGTTTGGGATTTGGGAATGGAGTTTGGGATTTGGGATTGGAGTTTGGGATTTGGGAATGGAGTTTGGGATTTGGGATTGGGGTTTGGGATTCTGGGAATGGAGTTTGGGTTTGGGGTTTGGCGTTTGGGATTTGGGATTGGGATTTGGGAGTTCCTGATTTTTTTCATCCTCCCAGGACACAGGGAACAGCTCATTCCTGATTTTCCCATACAGGGAAAAATCCTATTTTCCCGATTTTTGGGGAACATTTCATTCCCGATTTTCAGGCAGGGCTCATTCCCAATTTTTCCCGATTTTCCGCCTCTGGAGCACCCCGGGAATTGTCCCCCCATGGAATTGGTTCCCTCTGCTCCTTCCCGGCTCCCGAAATCCCAAAAAAAAGAGGCAGGAACACCAAAATCCCAGCGGGTTCCACATTCCCGGCCGGGCCCGCCCAACTCCCGAGTTTTCCTTGGAATCCGATCCCGAGTTTTCCTTGGAATCCGATCCCGCTGCTCCTCCCTGGCCTCGGAGCGCTGCGGGAAACTCCCGCCCATCCCCCACTGCCCCGGGAATTCGGGATCGGAGAGAAAACCGGGAATGGGAAAAGGGATCCGGGAGGGAATTCCCAGAATAAAAGCGGGAATGGGAAAAGGGATCCGGGAGGGAATTCCCAGAATAAAACCGGGAATGGGAAAAGGGATCCGGGAGGGAATTCCCAGAATAAAACCGGGAATGGGAAAAGGGATCTGGGAGGGAATTCCCAGATCCTGGAAAAAAACTGGGAATGGAGATCTGGGAGGAAAATTGCTGGAATTAAACCAGGAATGGGAAAAGGGATCCGGGAGAGAATTCCCAGAATAAAACCGGGAATGGGAAAAGGGATCTGGGAGGGAATTCCCAGATCCTGGAAAAAAACTGGGAATGGGGATCTGGGAGGAAAATTGCTGGAATTAAACCAGGAATGGGAAAAGGGATCCAGGAGGGAATTCCCAAATCCCAGAATTAAACTGGGAATGGAAAAAGGGGATCCGGGAGGGAATTCCCAGAATAAAACCGGGAATGGGAAAAGGGATCCGGGAGGGAATTCCCAGATCCTGGAAAAAAACTGGGAATGGGGATCTGGGAGGAAAATTGCTGGAATTAAACCAGGAATGGGAAAAGGGATCCGGGAGGGAATTCCCAAATCCCAGAATTAAACTGGGAATGGGAAAAGGGATCCAGGAGGGAATTTCCAGACCCTGGGAAAAAACTGGGAATGAGAGAAGGATCCGGGAGGGATTTCCCAAATCCCAGAATAAAACCGGGAATGGGAAAAGGGATCTGCAAGGAAAATCGCTGGAATTAAACCAGGAATGGGAAAAGGGATCCAGGAGGGAATTCCCAGATCCCAAAATAAAATTGGGAATGGGAAAAGGGATCCAGGAGGGAATTCCCAGATCCCGATCCAGTTTTTAATTAAAATGACCCCAATTTCATTCCAGGCTTTTCCAGGGAATGTTGGGGCTTGGGATCATCAGGATTGCCCAGAATTCCTGATCCCTGCAAATCCCAACAGTGGCTTTAGGATCTGACCCCCAAATGACCCAAAACTCAACGATCCGGCCCCAAAACCATCCCAAAAAATAAGTGGGAAGGGTTGGGATCATCCAGATCTCCTCTCTTCCCATTCCCATTCCCATTCCCATTCCCATTCCCGATCCCCGCAAATCCTAAAATATGA